GACAGACTCAGACTCAGACTCAGCAACAAGGCTAGCAGCGTAGTCTAGACGACACCGGGCAGCAAAGTCTATCAACTCAGCGACCAGAGCAGACGCAGCAGAGGACTCAAAGGTAGGGTCAGTGACAACAGTAGCGAGGAGACGGGTGACAGTGGGACTGGCAGCACGACGGGAGTCAGACTCCGGATCAGGAAGAGTAGGTAGAGAGGACGCAGGAGGAGACGGCAGCGGAACACGCTGAGGAGCAGTGGAGGGACGCAGAGTCATGTAGTGAGTGCCAGGGACAGGAGGAGGACGCTCACGTGGGACACGACGACCAGTGCGAGCAGTACGAACAGGTGACGCAGGACGAGACGCAGGCTCACGACGCTCTGCAAGACCTCCTGTGGGACCAGTGTAAGGAGAGGGACCAGGGAGAGGCGAGGCAGGCGGTAACTGTGACTGCGACTGGACAGGCGGAGGACACTCTACGGAGGGAGGAGGATAAGGAGGAGGAGCCTGACCAAGAACCTGCTGAAGAAGTGGGTGGTGCCAGAGGACAGTCTCATGCGCCAGAGAGCGACACGAGCAGGGGGCTGACAGCTGACCTGACGCAGACGCAGACGCGGACGCAGCTACCTGAGGGGACTCAGTGGTCAGTGTGTACAGGTCCGACCCCGGCTGCCGAGTGAAGGTAGCCAGGTGACGGCCCGTCCGAGCACACGTGCAGTGTGTCACGCGCTCGTAAGCAGGGGTGAACTGGTGAACACCCCCGTCCTGGAGCGCACTACCTGCCACCAAGTTCGTAGAGAACGAGGGGAGGTAGAGACCTGACAGTGTGCCTGACGGGACCGCAGGACAAGGAAGGACAGTGGAGGAGGTCGCAACGACCGGACCCCCAGAGGGGTCAGCGAGGGAGACAGCAACCGGCCGAGCGAGTGGCTCAAGGACAGTGCGGTCACGAAAGAAACAGCGAGAAGCACCTGAGTCCAGAGTGAAGGTGTGCAGTGCTGCAGTCGACTCAGTACCAGCGGGCACGGACTCACTAGCACCTAGAGCAGCAGCCTCACCAGGACCTGGGGCAGCAGACTCACTAGCACCTAGAGCGGCAGCCGGACTGGTCTGAATGCCCGGGTCGGGCGGAACACGCAAGTACTGAGCACCCTCTCCACTAGTAAACATCGCATACATGGCAGTGAGAATAGCATCAAAGTCTAAGGCCCAGATATCAACTCCCTTCTTCTCCAGATCAGCCCAGCGGGGCAGCTCAGTGGCATCAGGAAACTGGGCACGCCACGCGTCAGTAAGGCGCGCGAAACAGCGCTGCGTGGGATGCGGCCTCCCACACTGCTGGCCAGTGCGGTCACCAGTGCGAATGACGTACGTGCAGGTAAAGCCACGCTGCGCATACCACTCACGGGCGGCCTGAAGCGACGGGGCGGGCTGCTGACTCTGGCCACCGCCAGTGCCTCCACGACCACCACTGCCGCCGCCACCGCCTCGGCCACCTCCACCCCTGCCGCTGCCACGACCACCTCCGCCTCCGCTGCCGCCTCCACCCCTGCCGCCACTCCCGCCGCTGCTGTCACCACCCCCACTGCCGCCACTAGCCTCCCCAGCCGCTCCTCCACTCCCACCGCCTCCACCCCCACCTCCTCCGCCGCCACCTCCACCCTTGCCCCCTTTGCTCTTGCGGCGCCCGCTCGAAGCAGACGCGGTCCCGACCTTCTCAGCACCAAGGAGGTCGACAGCAGCAGCAGAGGCGACAGAGGGGAGGAGAGGGGAAGGGGAACACCCCTCAAAGAACGGGGTGCGGGGGTCGCCACGAGAGGTGCCTACAGCGACGATGCTCGCCTCAGCTGCAAGCAGTTCCTTCTCGAGGAGGGCAATGGTGAGTTCAGTGGGGGAGCGAGAGAGGAAGTGGTCCCTGACTGTGCGCAGGGAGTCGGGGAGGCGGGTGACTATGTGGTAGAGAGTGATCCAGAGCGGGGGGGGTTGCTGGTGAGGAACTCGTCAGGCATAGCAGCGCGAAAGCGGGCCTCACTGGTCTTAAGGTGGGTGATGAGGTCAGCAACTGTCTGAAAGGAGGCCAGGTCGGGGAACAGGTAGGGGAGAGTGAGGCGGCCTAGTGTGGCAGAAGCGGGGGAGGAGTAGCGAGCGACTACAGCAGTGTATAGGTCCTTAGCAGTTTTGTGCTGGCCAAAGTGCTCGCGCTCGTCGATCGGTAGGGAGTTACGAATAGCGAAGCGAGCGTGGGCGTCACGAGTCTGCCACTGTGAGCGCTGAGTGCTGTCAGCAGTGGTAGGAGGGGCAGTAGCGTTGCCTAGGGCGTGATCGTACAGTGAAATGTCCTCCTTAGCAGTGAGCTGTAGAAAGAGGTGGAGGTCATCGAGCCAGGTTTCGAACTTCACTGGACGGCCCTCAGTATCGAAAGTAAGTACAGTAGGAGTAGCCATAGCGGCAGTAGCAGTAGCGGTAGAAACAGTAAGAATGAGGCCGCAGGGAAGCTGTGGGCGGTGTCAACGGGGCCGGGAGCAGCTGATGCTCACGGGCGGCAGCGGCAGTGGGCGCAGTAGCGGCGGCTGCAGCGGGAGCGAGTGCAGTAGCGGCAGCGGTAGCAGGCGCAATAGTAGCGCACGGGCGGTAGCGGCCGCGGCGCACGAGCGGGAGCGGCTGCGGGCGACACACAGGCGGTAGCTGCAGCGGCGGGCCCGTGGTAGCGGCAGCTGCAGCGGGCGACGAGCGGGCGGCAGCTGCAGCGGGCGACGAGCGGGCGGCAGCAGCAGCGGGCGACGAGCAGGCGGCAGCTGCAGCGGGCGACGAGCGGGCGGCAGCAGCAGCGGGCGACGAGCGGGCGGCAGCTGCAGCGGGCGACGAGCGACGGGCGCTGCAGCGGACGGGCGGCAATGTGCAGGCCGGCGGGGCCGCTGCGGGCTGCGCTTTAGCGGTGCGAGCGACGCGCGGGCGGCTAGCCGGTCGCGCTCTAAAGAATTCGGCCGCGCGGGCAGTTAGCGGGTCGCGCGCGGTTAAAAGTAAAAAAAGGCGAGCCGCGCGCGAGTGGCTGGCAGGCTGCGCGCGCGCGGTAGGTAGGAGGCGCACTAGGGCGCGTAGGCGCACGAGGGCGCACGGTAGGTAGGTAGGTAGGTAGGTAGTGGTGGGCCCTAAGAACGGTCCTAGCGAAGGACCTGCTCTGAAACCATGTCGGAATCAACAGACAGGAATGATTGAACTAACAGCGAAAACAGTACAAGTACCTAACCCTAGAATTGTGTACCCCCTATAGGCTAACCCACTGTAGCCTAAACAAACACAACATATATAATGTTTGACAGTCACTCATAGGTAGCACTTCTGGCCTGGCACATGGTGCCATTGCGGCGGCCGAGGGAAAGCCGGACACAAGGATTCAAATTGTGTAATAAGAGACATGCAATACATTCTGTTATATAGGAATCATACAAGGCAGGCAGTTAACAAGGCGCAACTGTATTACAGTTGCGCTGTAACGGTTCAGTTGCCCTGTTACAGTCGCGCTGGCGCGACTGTTCAGCTTCGGCAAGGGCGCGGTATTCTGCCGCGCCCCGCAGGGCATTTCGCGTACTGTAGATGTTGCCTCCTGCTGTCGATTCGACTCCTCAGCTGCCACGAAAATTGCGACCCCTGTACGCGGTCGCGCCTTATCGTTCGATACTTGGGGCAGGAAACGCTCGATATGGCGAGCCCCTGTAAGCACACTTCGAACAGTGCACTTATAATAAACGTACAAACATATTCTCAACAGGACGGAGGCCACGGTCCATCTCGACCGTCGAGGGCAAGGATCCGTCGGTGCCGCAGGAGCGCCTTGAAAATTCATGGCCGCTAGGAGCAACTACCCGTTCTCCTGGCTGGCTAATGCGCTACTCCTGGACCCCACGGCATCCTTCCCTATCCACCTTCCCCCCAGGGGTAATACACTCTAAAAAACGGGGAAGCTAGGAAAGTAGCTCTGATACCAAGTGTTATGAGTTTTAATAAACAGTGTACGAGGAAGACTTATATAAAGAGACTGTGATTACGGAATGTCGGAAACAATGAAGAAAGTGAGAATATATGGGCCGAAATCTAGCTAGGCGAGAACCTCGTGACGTGCGAGGGTTGGGAATGTCGCGGTTGGTGCGGGGCGACTCGGCGCTGGTTTGGTGCGAAAGTATAGGCCGAGCCACCCTGACGCGAAGTGCTCGGGGCTGTCCTCGCTAGGAGCAGCCTCTACAGTAATGAATTGTATATTCATTACAAAATCTTTCGCCCTAGCTAATTCTCTAGCGGACTTAGACTAACAACCCCCTTGGGCACTTGTATCGGGGGGCTGACGGTATTTCGTTCCACTGCACTCGTAACACATTTGCACATTTTCCGCAAGGAAAATGCGTTTCTTCGCGATACCGTAGCGCCTCGGTGGAAGCATGATCGGGTAGTGCGTGCTATTAGAACAAAACCTAAATACCGTGCAGCATAGTGACTAACACTGTTTGAACTGAGCGCGGCGACCAGTTCTAGCGGGGCAGTCGTGGGCGACGAGCAGCGCGTGACTAGCAGGGGGGGGCGACGGGCGGCGGGCGGGGGGCGCGATGAGCGTGGTGCCGCGGGAGAGCGTGCAGGTGGCGGCGCACAGCATCGGCATCGCGAGTCTCGGCGATGACGTGGCGGCCGCGCTGGCGCCCGACGTGGAGTACCGCATGCGCGAGATCATCCAGGCACGCCCGCATGGGCAGGGGTGGGGCCGTGGGTGGGCGGGGCGCGGGTGGGGGAGGAGGGAGCACGACGGCGCGTGTGCGGGACGAGGACGCATGCACGCATACTCGCAGCCGTTGCATAGTCGGAAAGCTCTCATAGTCTCGTTTCATAGTACTCGCGGGCGACTCGCAGCATCGCTCAGCGTAGAACTCTCACAATCCCTGCTTCCGTGTCCACGCTCCTCTGTCTCCCTCACATGCCATCCCCGCCCACCATGCCACGCCCGCCCGTCGTGTGGTGCGCAGGAGGCGGTGAAGTGCATGCGGCACAGCCGGCGCACCACTCTCACCACCGCTGACATCGCAGCCGCCCTCAGCCTGCGGAACGTCGAGGTGAGCCACGCTGCTGCCAGCTGTCCTGCTGCCAGCTGTGCTGCTGCCTCGCACGCATGCTGCCGCTGGCCAGCACTCCTCCCCTCCGCACACATGGCACTCTCGCACGCCCTCCACTCCTCTGCATTCACCTCCCTCATCTCACCCCCCCTTCCCCCCCTCCCCCGGTGTTGTGGCAGCCGCTGTTTGGGCTGGCAGCGGCGGACAGTGTGCGGTTCCGGCGGGCAGTGGGGCACAGCGACATCGTCTTCCTGCACGACCCCACGCTGCCGCTCTCCCAGGTCGCCCTTTCACACACACACACCGCTCATCTGTCGCACATGGACTGTCACCTTGCTGTTGCCATGCCTGCCACGCCTTGTGCTGTCCACTTGCCAAGCACAAACCTGAAGCTTCTCGCCAACGGCCACTTGTCCTGTGCTGTCCCGTCCTTCCATTGCCCTCACCATCGCTCTCCGCATGCCTGGCTGCGCCACGCGTCTCACCACGTGCGTGCCTGGGCGCCCTCCTTGCCCCCTCCCCTGGGTGCGCGGTACCCTGCAGGTGGTGGAGGCGGGGGTGCCGAGCGCCCCGGCGGACGTGAGTGTGGCGGCGCACTGGCTGGCCGTGCACGGCGTGCAGCCCGCCACGCCTGAAAACGCCCCGCCCGCAGGTGGGGGAGGGAAGGGGATGTACAGTGGTGGGATGCGGTGTGGCATGGGGCGATGGGGGTGGTGGTGCTGCTGGGTTGGGAGAGGTCTGAGTGGTTAAGGGACCAACGCAGGTGCGGTGGGGGACCATGAGGACACAGCATCTCTGGTGTGGGAGGGGTGGGGTGAGTGGCTCACTGAGCGAGGGCAGGCAAGGCGTGACGTTGGTGCATGTGCTCCATGCAAGCATGCACTTCCCCTTTGAAGGGCCGTGCATGCCATGCCATCCCATGTACGGCTTACTCACCAGCGCTGGGCCTCAGCTGCCGTGTGGGCAGCGCTCCGCTGCATGCCCGTCACTGCTTCCCACCCACCCTCACATGCTTCGTCCCCCCTCCCGCCCTGCGGCCCCCAGGCATGCCAGCAGCAGCAGTGAAGGGGGAGGCGGGGCGGGCAGCAGAGGGCGGCGCACAGCGAGCAGGGGGAGGGGCAGCAGGGGGGGCAGGCGGGGGGGAGGTGGTGGAGGTGAAGCTGCCCGTGAAGCACGTGCTGTCCAAGGAGCTACAGGTGCCGCCCTCGACCACCCTCCCTCCTCACATGCATCCCGCCTCCCTTTGCACGTCGACTCTAGTTACCATCCCTGTTTCCTATGCCTCGCTATGTCGCTCTACTCCCGCAACTTTTCCATTGTTCAGTTCAGCCCTACGCAAAAAAAGCCCAAGAAGCTCCTTTATTGCATTCTCTTGGTCGCTTTGTCTCGTGCTGGTTCATGTAACTCACTCGCTGGCATTCTCCCTTGCTCTCTTCAACAGCTTCCACTCTGCCTTCTCCCCCGCACCTCCCTGCGTGCCCTGCCCGCGCAGCTCTACTTCGAGCGCGTCACCGAGCTCGTGCTGCTCACTGCCCGGCCCCCTGCCCCCGCCGCCTCCGCTGCGCCAAGCCCAGGCGGCCAGCAGCAGCAGCAGCAGCAGCAGCAGCAGCAGCAGCAGCAGCAGCAGCAGCAGCAGCAGCAGCAGCAGCAGCAGCAGCAGCAGCAGCAGCAGCAGCAGCAGCAGCAGCAGCAGCAGCAGCAGCAGCAGAGTGTGTTGTGGCACGCGCTGCGCAGTGTGGCAGTGGATGCGGGGCTGCACGCGCTGCTGCCCTACTTGGTGCACTTCATTGCTGACGAGGCCAGTCCCCCTGCACTGTGCTGCACTGCACTGTGCTGCACTGCACTGTGCTGCACTGCACTGTGCTGCACTGCACTGTGCTGCACTGCACTGTGCTGCACTGCACTGTGCTGCACTGCACTGTGCTGCACTGCACTGTGCTGCACTGCACTGTGCTGCACTGCACTGTGCTGCACTGCACTGTGCTGCACTGCACTGTGCTGCACTGCACTGTGCTGCACTGCACTGTGCTGCACTGCACTGTGCTGCACTGCACTGTGCTGCACTGCACTGTGCTGCACTGCACTGTGCTGCACTGCACTGTGCTGCACTGCACTGTGCTGCACTGCACTGTGCTGCACTGCACTGTGCTGCACTGCACTGTGCTGCACTGCACTGTGCTGCACTGCACTGTGCTGCACTGCACTGTGCTGCACTGCACTGTGCTGCACTGCACTGTGCTGCACTGCACTGTGCTGCACTGCACTGTGCTGCACTGCACTGTGCTGCACTGCACTGTGCTGCACTGCACTGTGCTGCACTGCACTGTGCTGCACTGCACTGTGCTGCACTGCACTGTGCTGCACTGCACTGTGCTGCACTGCACTGTGCTGCACTGCACTGTGCTGCACTGCACTGTGCTGCACTGCACTGTGCTGCACTGCACTGTGCTGCACTGCACTGTGCTGCACTGCACTGTGCTGCACTGCACTGTGCTGCACTGCACTGTGCTGCACTGCACTGTGCTGCACTGCACTGTGCTGCACTGCACTGTGCTGCACTGCACTGTGCTGCACTGCACTGTGCTGCACTGCACTGTGCTGCACTGCACTGTGCTGCACTGCACTGTGCTGCACTGCACTGTGCTGCACTGCACTGTGCTGCACTGCACTGTGCTGCACTGCACTGTGCTGCACTGCACTGTGCTGCACTGCACTGTGCTGCACTGCACTGTGCTGCACTGCACTGTGCTGCACTGCACTGTGCTGCACTGCACTGTGCTGCACTGCACTGTGCTGCACTGCACTGTGCTGCACTGCACTGTGCTGCACTGCACTGTGCTGCACTGCACTGTGCTGCACTGCACTGTGCTGCACTGCACTGTGCTGCACTGCACTGTGCTGCACTGCACTGTGCTGCACTGCACTGTGCTGCACTGCACTGTGCTGCACTGCACTGTGCTGCACTGCACTGTGCTGCACTGCACTGTGCTGCACTGCACTGTGCTGCACTGCACTGTGCTGCACTGCACTGTGCTGCACTGCACTGTGCTGCACTGCACTGTGCTGCACTGCACTGTGCTGCACTGCACTGTGCTGCACTGCACTGTGCTGCACTGCACTGTGCTGCACTGCACTGTGCTGCACTGCACTGTGCTGCACTGCACTGTGCTGCACTGCACTGTGCTGCACTGCACTGTGCTGCACTGCACTGTGCTGCACTGCACTGTGCTGCACTGCACTGTGCTGCACTGCACTGTGCTGCACTGCACTGTGCTGCACTGCACTGTGCTGCACTGCACTGTGCTGCACTGCACTGTGCTGCACTGCACTGTGCTGCACTGCACTGTGCTGCACTGCACTGTGCTGCACTGCACTGTGCTGCACTGCACTGTGCTGCACTGCACTGTGCTGCACTGCACTGTGCTGCACTGCACTGTGCTGCACTGCACTGTGCTGCACTGCACTGTGCTGCACTGCACTGTGCTGCACTGCACTGTGCTGCACTGCACTGTGCTGCACTGCACTGTGCTGCACTGCACTGTGCTGCACTGCACTGTGCTGCACTGCACTGTGCTGCACTGCACTGTGCTGCACTGCACTGTGCTGCACTGCACTGTGCTGCACTGCACTGTGCTGCACTGCACTGTGCTGCACTGCACTGTGCTGCACTGCACTGTGCTGCACTGCACTGTGCTGCACTGCACTGTGCTGCACTGCACTGTGCTGCACTGCACTGTGCTGCACTGCACTGTGCTGCACTGCACTGTGCTGCACTGCACTGTGCTGCACTGCACTGTGCTGCACTGCACTGTGCTGCACTGCACTGTGCTGCACTGCACTGTGCTGCACTGCACTGTGCTGCACTGCACTGTGCTGCACTGCACTGTGCTGCACTGCACTGTGCTGCACTGCACTGTGCTGCACTGCACTGTGCTGCACTGCACTGTGCTGCACTGCACTGTGCTGCACTGCACTGTGCTGCACTGCACTGTGCTGCACTGCACTGTGCTGCACTGCACTGTGCTGCACTGCACTGTGCTGCACTGCACTGTGCTGCACTGCACTGTGCTGCACTGCACTGTGCTGCACTGCACTGTGCTGCACTGCACTGTGCTGCACTGCACTGTGCTGCACTGCACTGTGCTGCACTGCACTGTGCTGCACTGCACTGTGCTGCACTGCACTGTGCTGCACTGCACTGTGCTGCACTGCACTGTGCTGCACTGCACTGTGCTGCACTGCACTGTGCTGCACTGCACTGTGCTGCACTGCACTGTGCTGCACTGCACTGTGCTGCACTGCACTGTGCTGCACTGCACTGTGCTGCACTGCACTGTGCTGCACTGCACTGTGCTGCACTGCACTGTGCTGCACTGCACTGTGCTGCACTGCACTGTGCTGCACTGCACTGTGCTGCACTGCACTGTGCTGCACTGCACTGTGCTGCACTGCACTGTGCTGCACTGCACTGTGCTGCACTGCACTGTGCTGCACTGCACTGTGCTGCACTGCACTGTGCTGCACTGCACTGTGCTGCACTGCACTGTGCTGCACTGCACTGTGCTGCACTGCACTGTGCTGCACTGCACTGTGCTGCACTGCACTGTGCTGCACTGCACTGTGCTGCACTGCACTGTGCTGCACTGCACTGTGCTGCACTGCACTGTGCTGCACTGCACTGTGCTGCACTGCACTGTGCTGCACTGCACTGTGCTGCACTGCACTGTGCTGCACTGCACTGTGCTGCACTGCACTGTGCTGCACTGCACTGTGCTGCACTGCACTGTGCTGCACTGCACTGTGCTGCACTGCACTGTGCTGCACTGCACTGTGCTGCACTGCACTGTGCTGCACTGCACTGTGCTGCACTGCACTGTGCTGCACTGCACTGTGCTGCACTGCACTGTGCTGCACTGCACTGTGCTGCACTGCACTGTGCTGCACTGCACTGTGCTGCACTGCACTGTGCTGCACTGCACTGTGCTGCACTGCACTGTGCTGCACTGCACTGTGCTGCACTGCACTGTGCTGCACTGCACTGTGCTGCACTGCACTGTGCTGCACTGCACTGTGCTGCACTGCACTGTGCTGCACTGCACTGTGCTGCACTGCACTGTGCTGCACTGCACTGTGCTGCACTGCACTGTGCTGCACTGCACTGTGCTGCACTGCACTGTGCTGCACTGCACTGTGCTGCACTGCACTGTGCTGCACTGCACTGTGCTGCACTGCACTGTGCTGCACTGCACTGTGCTGCACTGCACTGTGCTGCACTGCACTGTGCTGCACTGCACTGTGCTGCACTGCACTGTGCTGCACTGCACTGTGCTGCACTGCACTGTGCTGCACTGCACTGTGCTGCACTGCACTGTGCTGCACTGCACTGTGCTGCACTGCACTGTGCTGCACTGCACTGTGCTGCACTGCACTGTGCTGCACTGCACTGTGCTGCACTGCACTGTGCTGCACTGCACTGTGCTGCACTGCACTGTGCTGCACTGCACTGTGCTGCACTGCACTGTGCTGCACTGCACTGTGCTGCACTGCACTGTGCTGCACTGCACTGTGCTGCACTGCACTGTGCTGCACTGCACTGTGCTGCACTGCACTGTGCTGCACTGCACTGTGCTGCACTGCACTGTGCTGCACTGCACTGTGCTGCACTGCACTGTGCTGCACTGCACTGTGCTGCACTGCACTGTGCTGCACTGCACTGTGCTGCACTGCACTGTGCTGCACTGCACTGTGCTGCACTGCACTGTGCTGCACTGCACTGTGCTGCACTGCACTGTGCTGCACTGCACTGTGCTGCACTGCACTGTGCTGCACTGCACTGTGCTGCACTGCACTGTGCTGCACTGCACTGTGCTGCACTGCACTGTGCTGCACTGCACTGTGCTGCACTGCACTGTGCTGCACTGCACTGTGCTGCACTGCACTGTGCTGCACTGCACTGTGCTGCACTGCACTGTGCTGCACTGCACTGTGCTGCACTGCACTGTGCTGCACTGCACTGTGCTGCACTGCACTGTGCTGCACTGCACTGTGCTGCACTGCACTGTGCTGCACTGCACTGTGCTGCACTGCACTGTGCTGCACTGCACTGTGCTGCACTGCACTGTGCTGCACTGCACTGTGCTGCACTGCACTGTGCTGCACTGCACTGTGCTGCACTGCACTGTGCTGCACTGCACTGTGCTGCACTGCACTGTGCTGCACTGCACTGTGCTGCACTGCACTGTGCTGCACTGCACTGTGCTGCACTGCACTGTGCTGCACTGCACTGTGCTGCACTGCACTGTGCTGCACTGCACTGTGCTGCACTGCACTGTGCTGCACTGCACTGTGCTGCACTGCACTGTGCTGCACTGCACTGTGCTGCACTGCACTGTGCTGCACTGCACTGTGCTGCACTGCACTGTGCTGCACTGCACTGTGCTGCACTGCACTGTGCTGCACTGCACTGTGCTGCACTGCACTGTGCTGCACTGCACTGTGCTGCACTGCACTGTGCTGCACTGCACTGTGCTGCACTGCACTGTGCTGCACTGCACTGTGCTGCACTGCACTGTGCTGCACTGCACTGTGCTGCACTGCACTGTGCTGCACTGCACTGTGCTGCACTGCACTGTGCTGCACTGCACTGTGCTGCACTGCACTGTGCTGCACTGCACTGTGCTGCACTGCACTGTGCTGCACTGCACTGTGCTGCACTGCACTGTGCTGCACTGCACTGTGCTGCACTGCACTGTGCTGCACTGCACTGTGCTGCACTGCACTGTGCTGCACTGCACTGTGCTGCACTGCACTGTGCTGCACTGCACTGTGCTGCACTGCACTGTGCTGCACTGCACTGTGCTGCACTGCACTGTGCTGCACTGCACTGTGCTGCACTGCACTGTGCTGCACTGCACTGTGCTGCACTGCACTGTGCTGCACTGCACTGTGCTGCACTGCACTGTGCTGCACTGCACTGTGCTGCACTGCACTGTGCTGCACTGCACTGTGCTGCACTGCACTGTGCTGCACTGCACTGTGCTGCACTGCACTGTGCTGCACTGCACTGTGCTGCACTGCACTGTGCTGCACTGCACTGTGCTGCACTGCACTGTGCTGCACTGCACTGTGCTGCACTGCACTGTGCTGCACTGCACTGTGCTGCACTGCACTGTGCTGCACTGCACTGTGCTGCACTGCACTGTGCTGCACTGCACTGTGCTGCACTGCACTGTGCTGCACTGCACTGTGCTGCACTTCCCTCGCCTTAATTGCATCTTGCACAACCAGCACACGCGGCGGACTGCCATCTCAACTGCATTATGTGTCGCTCACATCATACGTTATCCTGGAACCACCCCTCACTGCTCTCTACTCGCACACGCCCACCCAATGCATTAATCTGTGCTGTCATCTCGACTCCTCATCTTATCCTCTCCCTGCTGTTGCGGCCACTACCAGGTGATGCGGTCGCTGGACGACTGCGTGCTGCTGGGCAGCCTCATGCGCGTGGCCAGGGCGCTGCTGCTCAACCCGCACCTCCACATGGAGCCATACGTGAGTCATGAGCCATACGTGAGTCATGAGCCATACGTGAGTCATGAGCCATACGTGAGTCATGAGCCATACGTGAGTCATGAGCCATACGTGAGTCATGAGCCATACGTGAGTCATGAGCCATACGTGAGTCATGAGCCATACGCGAGTCATGAGCCATACGCGAGTCATGAGCCATACGCGAGTCATGAGCCATACGTGAGTCATGAGCCATACGTGAGTCATGAGCCATACGTGAGTCATGAGCCATACGTGAGTCATGAGCCATACGTGAGTCATGAGCCATACGTGAGTCATGAGCCATACGTGAGTCATGAGCCATACGTGAGTCATGAGCCATACGTGAGTCATGAGCCATACGTGAGTCATGAGCCATACGTGAGTCATGAGCCATACGTGAGTCATGAGCCATACGTGAGTCATGAGCCATACGTGAGTCATGAGCCATACGTGAGTCATGAGCCATACGTGAGTCATGAGCCATACGTGAGTCATGAGCCATACGTGAGTCATGAGCCATACGTGAGTCATGAGCCATACGTGAGTCATGAGCCATACGTGAGTCATGAGCCATACGTGAGTCATGAGCCATACGTGAGTCATGAGCCATACGTGAGTCATGCAGCCGTACGTGAGTCATGAGCCATACGTGAGTCATGAGCCATACGTGAGTCATGAGCCATACGTGAGTCATGAGCCATACGTGAGTCATGGAGCCATACGTGAGTCATGGAGCCATACGTGAGTCATGAGCCATACGTGAGTCATGAGCCATACGTGAGTCATGAGCCATACGTGAGTCATGAGCCATACGTGAGTCATGAGCCATACGTGAGTCATGAGCCATACGTGAGTCATGAGCCATACGTGAGTCATGAGCCATACGTGAGTCATGAGCCATACGTGAGTCATGGAGCCATACGTGAGTCATGAGCCATACGTGAGTCATGAGCCATACGTGAGTCATGAGCCATACGTGAGTCATGAGCCATACGTGAGTCATGAGCCATACGTGAGTCATGAGCCATACGTGAGTCATGAGCCATACGTGAGTCATGTGCCATACGTGAGTCATGGAGCCATACGTGAGTCATGAGCCATACGTGAGTCATGAGCCATACGTGAGTCATGAGCCTTACGTGAGTCATGAGCCATACGTGAGTCATGAGCCATACGTGAGTCATGGAGCCATACGTGAGTCATGAGCCATACGTGAGTCATGAGCCATACGTGAGTCATGAGCCATACGTGAGTCATGCAGCCATACGTGAGTCATGAGCCATACGTGAGTCATGAGCCATACGTGAGTCATGAGCCATACGTGAGTCATGAGCCATACGTGAGTCATGAGCCATACGTGAGTCATGAGCCATACGTGAGTCATGAGCCATACGTGAGTCATGGAGCCATACGTGAGTCATGAGCCATACGTGAGTCATGGAACCATACGTGAGTCATGAGCCATACGTGAGTCATGAGCCATACGTGAGTCATGAGCCATACGTGAGCCATGAGCCATACGTGAGTCATGCAGCCATACGTGAGTCATGAGCCATACGTGAGTCATGAGCCATACGTGAGTCATGAGCCATACGTGAGTCATGAGCCATACGTGAGTCATGAGCCATACGTGAGTCATGAGCCATACGTGAGTCATGAGCCATACGTGAGTCATGAGCCATACGTGAGTCATGGAGCCATACGTGAGTCATGAGCCATACGTGAGTCATGCAGCCATACGTGAGTCATGCAGCCATACGTGAGTCATGAGCCATACGTGAGTCATGGAGCCATACGTGAGTCATGGAGCCATACGTGAGTCATGAGCCATACGTGAGTCATGAGCCATACGTGAGTCATGGAGCCATACGTGAGTCATGAGCCATACGTGAGTCATGAGCCATACGTGAGTCATGAGCCATACGTGAGTCATGAGCCATACGTGAGTCATGAGCCATACGTGAGTCATGAGCCATACGTGAGTCATGAGCCATACGTGAGTCATGAGCCATACGTGAGTCATGAGCCATACGTGAGTCATGGAGCCATACGTGAGTCATGAGCCATACGTGAGTCATGAGCCATACGTGAGTCATGAGCCATACGTGAGTCATGAGCCATACGTGAGTCATGAGCCATACGTGAGTCATGAGCCATACGTGAGTCATGGAGCCATACGTGAGTCATGAGCCATACGTGAGTCATGAGCCATACGTGAGTCATGGAGCCATACGTGAGTCATGGAGCCATACGTGAGTCATGAGCCATACGTGAGTCATGAGCCATACGTGAGTCATGGAGCCATACGTGAGTCATGGAGCCATACGTGAGTCATGAGCCATACGTGAGTCATGAGCCATACGTGAGTCATGAGCCATACGTGAGTCATGAGCCATACGTGAGTCATGAGCCATACGTGAGTCATGGAGCCATACGTGAGTCATGCAGCCATACGTGAGTCATGCAGCCATACGTGAGTCATGAGCCATACGTGAGTCATGCAGCCATACGTGAGTCATGCAGCCATACGTGAGTCAGTGCGCGCACATGGACCTCCATGCTCCATGCCTGCATGCGCTTCCTGTTGCTGTGCTGGGCAACCCTCTCCCTTCCCTCCCTCACTCCACCTTCCCCCCCCCCCCCTCCCCTCCCTCTCAAACCACCAGCTGCACCAGCTGATGCCGGCCATGGTGACGTGTGTGGTGGCGAAGCGACTGGGCGAGCGGCAGCACCACGCCCACTGGCACCTGCGCGCCTTCACTGCCTCGCTGCTTGCCCTCATCTGCCACAGGTCACCTCACACTCACACCTCCACCACGTGCCACCACCACTCCCATCACCCGGGCCCTTAAGTGCCCTCCACCACCTTTCTCTTATCTTCCCCCGTTCATGTGCATTGGCGCTCGTTGATTGTTCTCATCCATCGTCTGTATGCTTGTCGCTCAGGTTCGGCCGAGCCTACGCGTCGTTGCAGCCGCGGTTGACGCGCACCTTGCTGCACACTCTGCTGGACCCCAAGCGCTCCCTGCCTCAACACTTTGGTGCCATCCGCGCTCTCACTGCGCTGGGACCCACCGTGGTGCGCTCTTGCCTGCTCCTATCATGCCTGCTCCTATCATGCCTGCTCCTATCATGCCTGCTCCTATCATGCCACATGCCACATGCCACATGCCATGTGCCTCCAGACATGCTTCTGCACTGCCTGGCCTTCCCCACTCCCACGCTCCACTACGGACACTGTTCTGCACTCTCCTTATCCCTCCTTCCACACTCTCCCCTCCCTCGTCTCCTCCCATCACCATCTTCTCATCTTGCCAATGACCCCCCCCTTGCCCGGTGCACCCCCTGCAGGTGCGAGTGCTGCTGCTGCCGCACCTACCGCTGTACGTGCGGCTGCTGCAGGCGCACATGGGCGTGCCCGTGCTCTGCTCCTCGCCACCCTCCCCCGCCAAGCAGCAAGAGGCCTGGCAGGTCTGGGGGGCCGTGCAGGTGAGCGAGCAACAGAGCCGTGCAGGTTTGCTGTGGGGGTTAGTTGCATGAGAGGTGCTCTGAGAGGTTAGTGCTGTGGGGGCTGTTCCATGTTTACTCCCACACCTTCTCAGAGATCTCGCCCCGCTTGAGACCCTCAGCTCTATTTCTGCCTTCGTTCTCACCACGCCTCAGTCTTCCCCGCATGCCCCTTATGCCTGCCTCTCTCCCCTCCCCCCCATCTTTTCTCCCCCCAGCAAGCGGCATGGGTGGCGGTGGCGCCTCACCTGCGCCTCTACCACCCGGCGCTGCTGCCCCGCCTGCTGGCGGCCGAGGGGATGGATGGGGCTGCACACGGTGGGGGGGTCGGTGGTGATGGTGGTACACACGCAAGCGGAGCAGCAGGGGCAGGAGGGGCAGCTGGGAGGATGAGGCGTGTTGCAGGGGGGTTGAGGTTCGCTGCCAGCCCGCGAGTGGCTGTACCCGCTGTGCGCACTGTGCCCCCTCTGCCGCCGCCACTGCCCTACGCGGCGGCGGGCAGGGAGGCATCGCTGCTGCTCTTCTTCCCGGCGCTGCAGCGCGGGCAGCAGCGCGCGGGCGGGCTGGCGGGGCTGGAGGGGTTCCACATGGGGCTGGGCGAGGGGGGCTACGACGATGACGACAGCAGCGAGTGGGAGGCGGGCGGGGCGGGGCGGCTGTGGGCCGTGGCGGAGCGCGTGGGGCCGGTGGTGGTGAGCAGTGCGAATGGCAGCGGGCGCGACTACGAGGTGGAGGACGCTCCCACCAAGGCCGCTCTTGCCGCCCTGGCTGGGGTGGGCAGGGGTGCTGAGTCGCATGGGCAGGGGACGGGGGGGAGAAGTGAAAGTGGGGAGAATGTGGGCCTGCTAGTTGAGGGGCTGGTATATTTGTTGGGGGATGCTATGATTCCTTTTGTGCCCATTGCACCCTTGTTCATGCATCTGTAAGTGCTTGTTTCTATGGCTCGTTAATTCTTGGTCAATGCTAAGACTGGTTGCTGCTGGCGAAGGCAAAAGCACATCAAGCATTATCGTGGTCCCTTGTGCTTTGATGCACCAATCACAGCTTAGCATCCCTGAGAACTGTAACTGCTTTCTGGGTGGGTATAAAATAGACACCACCGTACCGTCACCCACCGAATAGAGACGCAGGTGAGCTTAAGAAATCGTGTTCCTTACCAAGCCTAGGGGGTGTGTCAAAGTGTACCGCCATCGCCCGGATAGTAGACAGTGTTGAATAGTAGACAGGGGTTGTCTATTATCCAGGTGTCACTTATAAACAGGCTAGCCTCCAGGCCCCAAAATGTCAGGGTAAAATACCCTGATTGCCCTGACTGGCGGCCGCTTTTCTTGGGGTTACCCTGACCCAGTCAGCCTCCGAGATTTCTTACTCTGACTCAAAAAGAGTTTGCTTTTTTGTACCCTTATATAATCCGAGTTTGCGATTGTTTCCCGTGACCTTAATGAGTGTTTTAACCCTGTTACAGTGACACCAAGTCTTTAGTAGCGAGGATTCATTGGATTGCCGCGCAAAATAGCGCTAGCGGTATTTGCACAACGGTGATTTCTCGACACGAGCATCGAACCCACGACCTTCCCAATCGCAATGATGCTTCAGTTGGCGAGTGCGAAGAACTATCTATTATCTTGACGGTACACATTAATCAGAGTAAATTTATTTTTACCCTGTTTCTATCAGGGAACGAGATTTTTTACCCTAAGAGTCAGGGTTGGCCCACCCTGGAACTCTGGTTTGACAGGGTGGGCCCTGCTAGCCTCATTATAAGACACCTATTTGTGTGTACGAGATAAGACATACCGTATCGCCCCGGATAGTAGCGCCGCCTGATTAAAGGCGCCGGCGTTTCTACCGTAATCCCCCGTATATAGGACCCCCCCAGTTGTAGACCCCCGGGTCTATAATACGGACCCGGATACCCTATTTGAGTACATCTGAGTTATACCACATCCTAGAGAAGTGCGGATTTTACAAAAATGCAATTGAAAAGGTTATATTTCAGGCAGCCATCTTCTATGCGAAATGGAACAGGCAGCCATCTTCTATTCGGCAGCCAGCCGAGCACAGTACAGGGTAAGAAACAGGAGGGGGAAGTGAAGTCGGACCGATGAACAAGGACGTGCCATAATACAGTAGGGGTGTCTGGAAGACAATTCGAGTATTTTTGGGAGGAGCTAAAAACGGAGCAATGTTAAATCACTTCTTTGAGATCCAAAACTACATTTTTATACCGGTATATGTAATTTAAAAACGTTTCCATTTATAAGACTTATAAGACACCCAAAACCTCCCCAAATACAAGATAACCCAAGCATTTTTTTTAGTGTACGAGGTAAGACATATATGTCTTATATCAGGGCGATGACGGTAAATGTCAATATGAACAGATTCGGGTCTTCTAGAAAATATACCATTTAATTATACCCCCCAGCCTTTTTAGGGGTGATTATCATGAGACCATAGGGTCTTATACACGGGGGATTACGGTATCTGGAGCCATGCGCTTATGGCCGGTCCTCAATTATAAGCGCACCCCCTAGAATGCCTAAACTTGCTACAAGAGCATCCCTTCCCCCTAGGGGGTAATGTTTCCACTATTTTTTATATCTAAACATTTTAACCTACACTAACATCACTTCTACAAATGCCTCTACCAATAATCTCATTACACATTAACATTTCCGTGCATTCCTAACAAAAAATCTACTCGTCGTCAGACTCCGGCTCCTCCCAGTAGTTGCCGTAGAAGCCGTTGGCGATGATATCGTCATCGACGTCGACCTCGTCGGTCAGCTGGCTCCGCCTGTGCGCCATGGCAAGGTTGTCCTCACTGCCGTCAAGCGCGTTGCTGATGCCACAGGTGAGGAACGCCTTCTTGATAAGCTCAGGTGGCACAGCCTTCCAGGCCCGTGAGATCCACCTGAGCACCACCGCAGGGGGCGGCTTCTTGATGTTCCCTGCACCACAAGTCAGAGTGGGGGAGATGGTGTTAGAACAAGATACGGGCGGAAAGGAACCATCTCTCTAACCATCAGTGGTTGGTTCTTACCTGCAGGCATCAGACGCTCCTGGCCCTCCTCTTCAAACCAGGTCCGGTACTGCTGGCAGATAGATGCTTTGAAGGACTTGTTGATCGCGACGCCGAGAGGCTGTACCTCCGCCGTACAGCCCGACGGGATCACCGCCGGAACGATGTCGAGGTCGACGAACTTCTGCTTCACTTCGTCCGTGAGATGACCGCGGTAAGAGTCGAGGACGACCATGGCACTCCTCGCCTGCCTGCCGAACCGAGGCCGGATGAAGGGCTTGACGCACTCCTCGAGCCAGCGCATGACGCCGTAAGCGTCCATCCAGCCATTCGGGTGCACCGCCACGACGACATCTGCGATGTCACAAACGGTAAAGAAACAAGCGTTAGTATGACGACAATCAAGCCAAACATTTGGAACCACTGTGTAATCTTACCGGGCGGGAAGTCACCCTTCGGCACCGTCTTTCTCTTGAAAAAGACCCACGGCTTGAGCTTCTCGCCGTTGGCCGTGCACGCCAGCTTCACGGTCACGCGTTCCTTCCGGTACCCCTTGCTCCTGATGGGCACTGAGCGAACGCCCGTCTCTTCCACAGTAGTCGTGGCGGGCATCTCCAGCCACAGCGGCGTCTGGTCGGCGTTGATGATCCACGTAGCGGGTTTCGATGCCGCGCTCACGCCGCTTGTCTCGAACGTACTGCCAGAAAGCCTGGCACAGCTCTGCGACATCTGCGCACACACAGACAGTGTTAAGGGACAGTGATTAGACAGAACCGTTGATTGAAAATTTCAACAAGCACACGGCAAAGGAAAAGTACAATCTTATGCTCGGCGGTTTTCTGGGCAATCCTCGTCTTCATGCGCACGCTCAGATTCCACCGTTTCCGAAACTGCTACGACCACCGCTGGCTGCCCTTCCACTTCACGTCGGGGAACAGAACCTTCATGAACTCCTTGGACCACTTTTACAGTCGACCGACGGAGACGGCCGTTCCTTAAGGGCGCCACTCGAGAAGCCTCGCGTAGACTTTCAACTCCATCGGCCTGTACCACGATGCCATCCCATGCCCGTGCATCCGCTTCCGTGCTGAGTGCGCTTCCTTGAGCATGACAGCGACTTTCTTCCACTCCGCAAGACATTTGCGGTGGATTTCCAGACTCGCGAGACAACGACCGCAGCGACACCGCCACATCCATGCGCCCAATCCACTGCAGCTTCTCCTGCGCGGTATAAGCGTTACGCTTATGCTGTGAGGGCTTGTCCCTAGGAGAGGGGGGGCGGGCATCACGATTCTCAGAAGAGGGGTGGGGATGTTTGCGGTTAACAGGAGGAAACGAAGGAATAGGAAGCTTCTTGGGAAGTCTGTCGCGCGACCAATACTCCACACCGTCGTCGTCCTCGCCGCCCGGGGCACCCTCGGGAAACACATCTTCCGCGGTGCCGGCCTCGGCGCCAGTGTCGGTTCTAGTGTCGGTGCCAGCCTCGGTGCCAGCCTCCGTGTCGGGCACATCGTCGTCAGCGCCCACACCAAATTCGTCCCATCCACAAACTTGCGGCTGGCCCCATTGCGGTGCCGGCGGCGGAGCTCGAACGTAGGCGTCGGGAGGCTTGTTGCTGTCAGGTTCAGACAGGTACTCGTCGAACGCCGACGGGTGCAGGAGCGTCAGAATAGGAGGATTCGATGGGCCTGGAAACACGGGGGGATTTGGAGGAGCAGGAGCTGGAGGTGCAGGAGGGCATGGAGGAGATGGAGGAGATGGAGGCGTCGGCGGCGCAGGAGGCTGTGGTGGCTCTGGGGGCGATGGTGGGATACGAGTATACCAGCCGTCAGCGTTGACACGGTAGGCGGGCCTAGGCTTCTTCTTAAAAAGGAAGTGGGTGCCAGTGAATTCCGCCATGGCTTCCGCAGCCAGGCGGGCGAAACATGCTAAAATGAATCAAGGCAAGCAAGAATTGAGAAGAAATGGACTTCAGACGAGACCCCTGCGGGGAAGCGGCTCGCCGTCCTTGTCGATAATAGACGGGTTCCCTCACAGCCTGAACCCGCAGAGGAGGGAATTGGGCGGCACACATGTTTCAGAATAACTAGGCAAGAATGAATGAACTAGCAGAAGTTTGGGTACAAATATGAAACCCTAGTTGGGGTTGTACCCCATATTGGCTACCCCACTACAGCCTACCAACATATAACACATTACAATTTAACACACCCCCATAGGCAAAGTGGGGGAGAACAAAGGGTCACAAGACCAGTCCAGCAAAGCAACGCAAGCCCAGGGTGGATCACAACGTCACCACACTCTGAGCACAAGCAAAGGCCACAAGGCCAGTTCACATGCAGTGCTAGATATAGTACAAGGCAAGCAACACAGTGATCAAAACCTAGCAAGCAAGCAACAAGATATATATAAAGTACAGTACAAAAAATGTCAAGCAGTGAGCAAGTGAGGAAACGTGGACACAAGGCCTAAAGAAGTACAGTGCCGCTGATGATCACTAGGCGGGAGCGCCTTGGTGAAGATATCAGCAGTGTTGGCCTTCGAGTCCACGTACACAAGCCGAAGCTGACCGCGCTGCTGAAGCTCTCGAGCAAGAAAGTAGCGAAGAGCAATGTGCTTCGTCCTGTGCTCCAGTCTGTGCTCCTGACACAAGGCAAGGGCCGCCTTGTTGTCGCCGTACAGAACTGGAGGAGAACTAGGCCGCTCTCCTAAGTCAGTCAGCAGGTAGGTGAGCCAGCGTAACTCCTGTGCAGCCATGGCCGTGGCGTAGATCTCAGCCTCACAACTAGAGCTGAGAACAGAAGAAGAACGGGTGGACCGCCACGAGACAGAACCAGAGCCAAGGCTGAAGGTGTAACCCTGTGACGACCGCTGCGTAGCCAGGTCGTCCACCCAAGAAGCGTCCGAGTGGCCAGTGAGGACAACTCTGTCGTGTCCTCCAAGCACCAGCCCCATGCCTGATGTACTGCACAAGTAGCGCAGCACCCTCTTAGCAGCCTCCCAGTGCTCTCACCTGTGTCTCCCAGGCGCAACGTAACGAGCAAGGATGCTAAGAGGGTACGCAAGGTCAGGTCGCGTGCAAGTCATCAGGTACATGAGGCAGCCCACAAGCTCTGGGTACGGGCCACTCGGCTCTACGGACTCGTCCGGAGGTGGAGCTGAGAGCGAGTGGCTGGTAGCCAGAGGTGTGGCCTGTGGTGAGGAGAACTGGAAGCCGAAGCGCTGAAGGACCTGCTGCACCATGTGTGACTGAGTCAGGGTGATGGTGCGGCGAGCTCTGTCCCGGGTGATCTGCAAGCCAAGGTAGCTACGCAGCTCACCCAGGTCAGTGCAGGTGTGTCTCTTCTGCAGCTCCGACTTCACACGAGCGAGTGCCTCAGTGTCAGCAGTAGCAAAGACCAAGTCGTCGACGTACACGAGAATGTAGAACGGCGGCAGCGACGTGTCTGTGCGCAGAAACAGCGACGGGTCAGCAGTAGACGGCGCGAACCCAAGAGCCGCAAGTGTAGTCCTCAGTGTGTCGTGCCACTCGCGTGGCGCCTGGCGGAGACCGTAGACTGGCCGGCGGAGGCTCCACTGGGTACCAGGAGGAAACGACCCAGTAAAGCCAGGTGGGCGGCGCAGCCAGATCTCCTCGTGCAGGCTGCCCTGCAGGAACGCTGTGCTGAAGTCAAGAGAGTGAAGCTCGTAGTCACGCTGAGCAGCAACGTGCAGCAGAACCCGAAGAGTGGTCATCTTCGGGGTGGGGGAGAAGGTCTGGAAGAAGTCGACCCCCTGACGCTGACTGAAGCCTCTAGCAACGTAACGAGCCTTGAAGACAGGCGGAGAACCTGGCGGCCGCTTCACCCTGAAAATCCACATGCCATCGACAATGTTCGCCCCAGGAGGGGGAACCTCGTCGACGTAGGTGCCTGTGGACTTCCAGGATGCCATCTCTGCGTCCATGGCTGTCTGCCACTGAGAGGAGTAGGGACCCGAGATCGCCTCTGCGTAAGTGCGCGGAGTGGGGATGTCTAGTGCATCCGGGTCTCCCTCAGGGGCAAGCAACCAGGCCACGAGATGAGGTACAGCAGCCGCGAGAGAGTCAAAGTCCTCGTGCCTGTCCTCAAGGACGTCCGTGCCAAGAGCACACTCACCCCCGACGGACGGAGGACAGACAGACTCAGACTCAGACTCAGCAACAAGGCTAGCAGCGTAGTCTAGACGACAGGCAGCAGCAAAGTCAACCAACTCAGCGACCAGAGCAGACGCAGCCGAGGACTCAAAGGTAGGGTCAGTGACAACAGTAGCTAGGAGACGCGTGACAGTAGGGTGCTCAGCACGATACCGGTCAGACTCAGGGTCCGGAACGTCAGGCAAAGAGGAAGCAGGAGGAGACGGCAGAGGGACACGCTGAGGAGCAGTAGAGGGACGCAGAGTCATGTAGTGAGTGCCAGGGACAGGAGGAGGACGCTCACGGGGGACACGACGACCAGTGCGAGCACGACGAACAGGCGACGCAGGACGAGACTCAGGCTCACGACGCTCTGTAAGACCTCCTGTGGGACCAGTGTAAGGAGAGGGAGCAGGGAGAGGCGAGGCAGGCGGTAACTGTGACTGCGGCTGGACAGGCGGAGGACACTCTACGGAGGGAGGAGGACAAGGAGGAGGAGCCTGCCCAAGAACCTGCTGAAGGAGCGGTACGAAGTACGGCCGCGGCCGCGCAGCGTCTCCAGAAGCAGAAGAGACTCCAGCGTCCGGGTCCCCAGCACCAGCAGCAGCGCCACCGCTCGGGTCCTCAGCTCCAGCAGCAGCTCCACCAGGTGGGTCCGCAGCACCAGCAGCAGCAGCACCCCCAGGGTCGGCAGCTACAACCCCGCAAGCGCCGCCAGCTCCAGAGTCCCCAGCTCCAGCAGCTCCAGTCGTAGTGCGCCCAGAACAACCAGTCCCGGCAGCTCCAGTACCCCCAGCTCCAGCCGAGCCACTAGGACGGCGAAAGCGCCGGACGTACCAGTCACGAAGCTGCTGTGGTGTGAGAGACTGCTCAGCACCCCGAACCGGAGCACCCCCAGACACAGCAACCCGAGGCTCCGTAGGCTCAGTAGCAGTACCCCCAGGCTCAGTACCCGCAGGCGCAGCACCCCCAGACGCAGCACCCCCAGACTCCGCACACGCCGGCTCAGGACCCCCAGTCGCAGCACCCCCAGGCTCAGCACCCCCAGGCGTCGAACTCTCAGGCACAGTACCCTCAGCTCCAGCACCCGTAGTCCCAGCACCCCCAGGCCCAGCACCCGCAGGCTCAGCACTCCCAGCAGCACCACCTGCAGCAGCACCTGAGTCACCTGTGACCTCGACAGGCTCAGCGACGGGAGGAGGGTCGACCTGAGAGACACCTGAAGGAGCAGGACCCTGAGGGGGAAGGGGGTCTACCGGAGGGGGACCAGGAGCAAGGAAAAGCGGCGGGGGAGGGAGGGGGGCAGTGCGGTAGGGGAAGAGACGGTAAAAAGGGACCGACTCGTCAAAGGTGACGTCCTGAGAGGCGAAGACCCGGCGCGAGGTGGGGTGGTAAAACTGCCAGCCCGGCGCGTCAGGGACAAAGCCAAGGAAGACACAGGGAAGCGTGCGGGAGGAGAGCTTGTCCGCGGACGTATCGCGGACAAGGGCACGAGCACCCCACACCCGGAAGCGCGACGCATCGCCAACCTCCCCCGTCCAACGCAGTGTGGGCGAGGTCTCCGGCAAGGAGACACGGGGCCAGAGGTTGAGCTGATGCGCGGCGTACCGGACAGCAAACGGCCACAGAAAATGGGGAGCCGCCGCGTGGACCAAGGAGGTACGAGCGACCTCCATGACCAGGCCAATGCGGCGCTCAGCAACCCCATTCTGCTGTGGGGAGTCCGGAAGCGTGAAGGTCTGCTCGATGCCCTCCGCCTGACAGAAGGTCCTCAAGAGGTCGGAGGAAAACTCACCACCTCTGTCAGAGTGCAGACGCAGGACAGGAAGATCCGTCCGGAAACGGCGGCGGAGCTGGAGACGAACTGTGCGGATCCAAGGGATCAGAACAGCAGGGACCTCACCCTTGGTGCGCAAGGGGAAGACCGTGGTGTAACGCGAGTAGTCGTCGACAACCAGCAAAAAGTACCGCTCACCGCCCTGACCACGAACGCGGGCTGGGCCCCACACGTCCAGGTGGAGGGTCTGCAGAGGAGCCTCTGTCGGGGGGAACGAGGAGGAGTGAGGAGCGGCGCGCTGCCGCCCCTCGACGCAAGGAAGGCAAGGCGGCGCAGGCGAGGCAGGGAGGGGAGGGAGGGACCTGGGAAGACCAGACACAAGGTGGCGACGGTGCATGCCACGGAGGCGTGGCAAGGAGGGGTGACCCAGGCGGTGGTGCCAGAGAAGAGTCTGGTGCGACAGGGAACGACACTCACAGGCGTGGGCTACCAGACCTGACGCGGACACCTGACCGACAGCAGCGACCTGAGGAGACGCAGTGGTCAGTGTGTAGAGACTCGACCCCGGCCGACGAGTAAACGTAGCCAGGTGACGGCCGGTCCTGGAGCACGTGCAGATCGCCACACGCTGTCCTCCAGGGGTGAAGGTGTCAACCCACTGATCCTGGATGACAGCGTTGCTCACCAGGTTCGTCGAGAACGAGGGGAGGTGGAAACCCGTCAACGAGCCAGACGGAACCGCCGGACAAGGGAGCACAGTGGTGGACCGGGCAAGGACCGGGCCCCCAGAGGGGTCAGCCAAGGAGACTGGGACCGGTGCAGAAAGCGGTGTGAGCTCAGTACTGTCTCGAAAGAAGCAGCGGGAAGCACCTGAGTCAAGGGTGAAGGTGTGACAGGGCTCAGTCGGTGCAGTACCTGAGAGAGCAGTCTCTGTGGGTGCTGTACCTGAGAGAGCAGACTCGCAAGCAGCAGGGACAGTGCTGGAGGGAGCAGGTACAGGGGGCACCATACCAGAGAGAGCAGACTCACTAGTACCTAGGGCAGCGGGCTCTATACCTGGGTCAGGCGGCACACACAAGTAACAGTCTCCCTCGGCACTAACAGTCAATGCATACATGGCAGCAATAATAGCATCATAGTCAAGAGCAAAGATATCAACCCCAGCCCTCATCAGCTCAGCCCAGCGAGGGCGCTCAACATCCTCGCCCATCTCCTCACGCCAAGCGTCGTCAAGGCGGAAGAAGCAGCGGTACGGGGTGTGAAACCTCCCACACGTCTGTCCCTTGCGATCACCTGTGCGAATGACATAGGAACAGCGGCCACTGCCCCCCGACGTCCCACGCTGAGCAAGCCACTCACGAAGCTGCTGGGTCGACTGGGGACGCTGCTGCTGCTGGGAGCTCTGGCCCGAGCCTGTGCCTCCACTCCGACCTCCACCGCCGCCACTACCTCCGCTCCGACCGCCACCACCGCCACCGCCACCGCCACTACCGCCACCGCCGCCACTGCCGCCGCTGCCACCACCGCCACTGCTCCCGCCGCCGCCCCCGCCTCCGCCGCCGGCCCCACTCCCACCGGCACTCCCGCCACCGCTCCCTCCAGCACCGCCTCCCCCCCCACCTCCCCCACCCCCTCCCCCCCCAGCGCCACCCCCGCCACCCTTGCCCCCCTTGCCCTTGCCGGTGCGGCGCCTCCCACCAGGAGCAGAAGCAGCGCCAGCAGTCTCAGCACCAAGGAAGTCAACAGCAGCAGCAGTAGCATAGGAGGGAGCGAGGGGAGAGGGAGAGCATCCCTCAAAGATGGGGGTGCGAGGAGCGCCGCGAGCAGCACCTACAGCGACAATGCTCTTCTCGGCTGCTAGCAGCTTCTCCTCTAGGAGGGGGACAGTGAGCTCAGTGGGACAGCGAGCAAGGAAATAGTCGCGCACTGAGCTGAGGGTGTCAGGGAGACGGGTGACTATGAAGTGGAGTGCCCAGTACAGGGGAGGGGGGTTCTTAGCGCAGAACTCGGTGGGAAGGGCGGCACGCAGGCGAGCATCACTAGTGCGAAGGTGGGTGATAAGATCGGCGACTGTAGCAAAGGCGGACAGGTCAGGGAACAGGTAAGGCAGCATGAGACGGCTAAGCTCGGCTGTGGCAGGTGAGGAGTAGCGAGCAACGACAGCGTCATATAGGGCTTTAGCGGTTTTGCAGTCGCCAAAGTGCTCTAGCTCAGGTAACGGCAGGTGACTGCGAATAGCCAGGCGAGCTGCAGCGTCACGAGTCTGCCACTGTGAACGTACACTAAGCTCGGCTGTGGCAGCAGGAGCAGCGGCAGCACCAGACGCGTAGTCATAGAGGGAGATGTGGTCCGTGCTATTGCTCATAAGATACAACTGCAGGTCGTCGAGCCAGGAAGTGAACTGCACGGGACGGCCCTCAGCATCGAAGGAAAGAACGCGAATAGAGGCCATAGCTCAGGCGTGAGGGCACAGCAGAGCAGCAGCAGCAGCAGAAGAGGCGGGCAGGGCTGCAGGCGGGATGTGCGGCGGGCGGGCTGCGAGGGGGGCAGCGGGGCGGGCTGGCGACGCGTCGAGTGGGCAGCGCGGCGGGCGGCTGCGAAGCGGGCAGCGGGCGGGCGGGCGACGCTGCAAGCGGGCAGCGGGCGGGCGGGCGACGCTGCAAGCAAGCAGCGAGGCGGGAGGGCGACGCTGCGAGCGAGCAGCGGGCGGGCGGGCGACGCTGCGAGCGGGCAGCGAGCGAGCGGGCGACGCTGCGAAGCGGGCAGCGAGCGGGCGGGCGGGCTGCGAAGCGGGCAGCGGGGCGAGCGGGCTGCGAAGCGGGCAGCGGGGCGAGCGGGCGAGGGTGCGAGCGGGCAGCGCGACGGGCGAGGGGCGAGCGGGCAGCGTGGCGGACGGGCGACGCTGCGAGCGGGCGGCTCGGCGGGCGGGCGACGCTAAGAGGGGCGCGCGAGGGCGCTAGCGAGGGGCGCGCGAGGGCGCTAGCAAGGGGCGCGCGAGGGCGCTAATGAGGGGCGCGCGAGGGCGCTAACGAGGGGCGCGCGAGGGCGCTAACGAGGGGCGCGCGAGGGCGCTAACGAGGGCGCACGAGGGCGCTACGAGGCTAGGGCACGGGGTAGCGTGGTAACCGCATGCGAGCGGTGGTGGGCCCTAAAAAAAAAACGGTCGGTAGGTCCTAGGGACCTCCTGCTCTGAATACCATTTCAGAATAACTAGGCAAGAATGAATGAACTAGCAGAAGTTTGGGTACAAATATGAAACCCTAGTTGGGGTTGTACCCCATATTGGCTACCCCACTACAGCCTACCAACATATAACACATTACAATTTAACAACATGCTGCGGTGGCAGGGCATATTCGATCCCTTCTAGAGGCATCGGATGAGCTGTCCCTGCCTGGCAACGCATGACAACGGGATTGGGCCGCACGGCAGCTTCCGAGTTAGCATTGGCAGATGCAATGCTGCGGGATAGAATTTGTGCGGCGGGAAATCGAGTCGCTGCTGTTTTCGCCTGCATTTTATGCACGAAGCCAACGTGAACGTTTCATGGGCGTGTTCGCCTTAATGAGAGCTTAGATTGTGACACGACTCTCCGAGGAGTCGTCATAGCAGTCGTCATAGCATTACAAATCTCATTTGTACAGCACACTCGAATGAAAAGTAACATAGAGTATCTAATTATGCTACGTCTACCGTACGCAGTGTAACTTGGGGATTGGGTTGGGAGGGAAGCAAAATGAAGATCTGAAAATGCAAATGAGGCTAGGTGGCAGGTCTGAGAGACCTGCCGGAATGTGAAGGAGCTTGACTCCTTTACAGCAAACTCCTCTACTAGTCGAATCACAATCTTCAAAATTTTTGAAGTTACACTTAAAAAAAAATTACATATTGTGACACGACTCTCCGAGGAGTGTGCAGTGCAGTCGTCATAGGTGAACGAGACATCACACAGGCGGGAGCTGACGATTGCGTGCGAGGGTGGAAGCGTAATGCTGGGTCGGGCTAGGTCGCGTTGGATCTTGAAGGGTGCGTGATGCCGCCACCAACTCGCGATCTAGCTGGGTGACATATAACTCCCGAGCTTTGTCACTACGCCACCGGCCGAGGGCCTTGAAGAAGCGGTCTGGTACGCCAACATCGACCGCCACCGTGGTAGCGGACTTGCGGAAGGAATGTGTGCCAAGCAAATTCGGATTAAGGCCAACACGAGAGAACGCCTCGCGACACCAGCTGCGAACGGTGGCGTAGGACGGGGATCGGTCGGAGGTTGTAGCTCGTGCAGCAGGAGAAAACACCTGGATGAGGGCGCCTAATGTCTGCGAAGAAAATCCTGCAAGGAAGAGAAATTGCTGTACGCGGGTGACCGGACAATGTCGAGCTGAAGAGGCGGCCACTGGGACCCAGGCTCCTGTGCCGGCCTGATCTGTTTTAGAACGAGGAATGAACAGCCACATGCAGTCACTGTCGAATTCGACCTGATGCCATTGAAGGGCGATCAGGTCAGAGAAGCGCTAGAAGGTTGTGAACATGAGAAGAGGAATGAGACTGCGTTGAAAAAAGGCGGGATCCGTCGACGAAAAATAAATGTCGCAGATGTCGTAGATCTTAGCGGGGGGTATCGGTTCCTTCGCCAGCGATGGCTTGCCACAATGGCGTTGCGCGTATTCCTTCACTTGTGAGGACAGTAGTCCCCTAATTGGAGATGGGTGGCCGATCAACCAGTGGGCACATGAAATAGCAGAGCAGGCGGACCGTATGGCCGAAACAGTAGCACTCCTGCGTACTGAATGCAGTAGAAAAAGGGCGGCTGTCAGGTCAGTGGCTGGGAGAAATGACAACGAATGCTCCAGACAGAATGCACGGAATTGTCGCCAATAAGGTTCATATGTGCGAATTGTGGACTTCGCGCGAAGATCGACTGTGAGCGTCAAGAGATCCATCAATAAGCGTCCAATATATGAACCTGCATGTGTACATGACTATAAATTAGTATATGTCAAACGGAGAGCATACATATGTGAATGGGGAAGACCGGCCCCACTAAAGGCCTGAGGGTCGCTGCCAACACGTAGGCATACGGAACCGTGAGCGAGATACTGGCTTGCGCGTATGTCCGGCGCCCATGTAGAGCCATCGGGGCACAGTAATGGCCACAAAAAGGCGCTAGGCCATGCGGGGATTACGAGAGTTATAGATGCACGGGAACGGCGAGCGTGGGCAAGAACGGCTGGGATTAGGGGCGGCGGGGGGAAAGCGTAGCAATTCTCTCCGCTCCAGCTCAGGGCGAATGCATCTTGCGAGATCGCATGTCGATGATAATCCAGGGAGCAAAATCGGGGTAGATGCGCGTAGGAGGACGAGGAGAATAGGTCGATTGTGTGTGGGCCCCAGCGCTGCTCGAGTAGAAGAAACCACGTTCGCGCAAGAGAGTAATCATCGTGAAGCTCAATTTTAGAAAGAGCGTCGGCTTCAGTGTTGAGATCGCGGGGGATCCACCACGCAGCGCGAAATGATGGTACGGCAAATTAGAGTAAGCTCGGCACGTCGAGAACCTCCTTTCTTTAGAATGTAATAGGCCGCCTGGCTGTCGCTCCAGAGCAAGACGTGGGAGTGTTGGATCTCAGTGCGAAAGACTGACAGCGCCCAGAGAATCCCGGCAAGTTCACGAAGCGTGCTCGAAGCGGCTGCTAGCGCACGCGGAAATGGGGAGGAGCATGAACCGACCCTGCCCTCGGGCGTGGAATAGCAGCTTCCCCAAGCGTGGTCACTAGCATCCACGTACATGCCGATGTCGTATACGTGCGGATTATGGAAGTTGGAGCCATTGAAAACGTCAAATTGAGTCAACCAGAATCGCAGCTCGTCGATCGACTCAGGTGTCAACTGGATGGATTCCCCCCAAGACCGGCATGCACCGATTTGTGATATCAGGTTATGGGAAAAGGCACGTGCGATGGTACCGAGTGCCATGGCCATCGACGCTAGCATGCCGGTCACTCTAGCCGCACGGCGAACTGGGATGCGACGCCCCTGCAAGCTGGTTTGGCATATTTGCTCGAGCTCCTCAAACAGGCGATCACGACGAGAAGCGTCAACTGAGAAAGAGGTCGTACGAGTATCCAATATGAGACCAAGGAATTTTAACCGTTGTGATGGCTCGAGCTGTGACTTTTCCATATTGACAATAAAACCAGCAGAACTGAGGTCGTCCATAATGATAGCTCGGATTCGGAAGGCCTCGGCCCGTGTAGAACAAATGAATAAGAGATCGTCAACGTAGGGTATTAGTCGAATTCCACTGCTGCGCCAGCGCTTGGCCAGTTGCTTGATCAATTGTGTGAAAACGAATGGAGCCGTGGCGAGCCCAAAGGGCAACGAGAGAAATTGGTAATGCTGGCCTTGCAGAGAAAATCCGAGGAAACGCCAGAATGACGGGTGGATGTCCACATGATGATAACCCGACTTGAGGTCTACTGTGAACAGCCATTCGCCTTGACGCACTAGGTCTGGGACCCTGTTGAGTCCTTCGTACCGAAATCGAGGGATGGAAAGGAACGAGTTCACATGGCGGAGGTCCAGGATGAGTCTTTTCTTGGAAGGTTGAACAACCACGTTGAGTGGACTAACGCATGTGAGAGGCGCATCGGCGGGGGCGATACGAGCTGCACCGGTGGCAAGAAGATCAGCCACTGCCTCAGCTGCAAAGGCCGTGTGTTGCAGTGCACCCGAATGGTTCGGGGCATGGTGAGGGGTAGGTTCGTAAGACTGCCATGGTAAGCGGTACCCCGATGCGATGACTGACAAGATGAAACGACCTTCGCACCAAGAGTTCCACCACGTAGAACGGTCGCGCAAGCGTCCTCGCATGTATCGCACGACGGCGTGAGGTCCACTCGTGTGGGGCATGAAGCCGAAGTCTGGTGGGGCATAGGTAGGGACATGAATAGCAATGTCAGTTAATGAGTAGGCATGTGCACGATATTAACTTTCGATGTGGCAAACTCTATATAAGCACCGCGTTGAATGGCCAGGGCCGAGGTGGTGTGGCTCGCATAGCGATCCCTGCCTCACTGTACTCTTACCAATCTTAATCGTTGATTTGTCTGATCGGACTCATGCTCGGGCCGGCGAGACCGATTGAGGCCCCTCGCCATCTCATCGCAACTATAGGTATGAGGGTTCATTATATCAACGGTTTTGTCTCCCCCTCTCATTCTGTTTGCTTCTCTTTACGATCCATCAAGCTAATTAGGCTGTAAGCCTTCGATGGCTACGAGGGGGGAATTGTTGTTATTGCCGTTTATTATTATTATCATCTTCTCTCTCTTTCTCAAATGGACCTTGCATTGATAAGCCATAAGGGTACAAACATGCATCAGAAATGTTCATCCAAAGGCACCTATCTATTGCAAAGGCACCTATCTATTGTTCAGAAATGTCTCTCTCTCTCTCTCTCTCTCTCTCTCTCTCTCTCTCTCTCTCTCTCTCTCTCTCTCTCTCTCTCTCTCTCTCTCTCTCTCTCTCTCTCTTTTTTTTTTTTTTTTTTTTAAGAGATGTTTCAGCACAACGCTCATCTCGAATAGTATTTCATGATAAATATGTCAAACATTATATGTTTATATTGTGTAGGCTGTAGTGGGTTACACCTTAGGGGGTACACAAAGTTAGGGTTTCCTACTTGTACCAAACTCTGTGCTAGTTCAATCTTTCTTTGCTTCAGTTATTTTGACATGGTTTCAGAGCAGGTCCTTCGCTAGGACCTATTTTTTTCCGGGCCCACCACTACTGACTGTGTACTAGCGCCCTCGTGCGCCCTACTGTCGGAGCGCGCCTTAGCGCCTCCCCCTAGCGCCCTCGAGCGCTTCTCTCTTTTTTTTTACTCGGCCCCGCTGGCCCCGTCGACCGCGCACGCGCCCCGCTTAGAGGCCTCGCTGGCCCCGTCGACCGCGCGCGCGCCCCGCTTAGCGGCCCCGCTGGCCCCGTCGACCGCGCGCGCAGCCCGCTTAGAGGCCCCGCCGGCCCCGTCGACCCCGCGCGCACCCCGCCTAGTGACCCCGCCGGCCCCGTCGACCCCGCGCGCGCCCCGCTTAGAGGCCCCGCTGGCCCCGTCGACCCCGCGCGCACCCCACCTAGAGGCCCCGCCGGCCCCGCTGTCCCCGCGCGCGCCCCGCATAGAGGCCCCGCTGGCCCCGTCTACCCCGCGCGCACCCCGCCTAGAGGCCCCCCCGGCCCCGTCGGCCCCGCGCGCACCCCGCCTAGAGGCCTCGCCGGCCCCGCTGTCCCCGCGCGCGCCCCGCATAGAGGCCCCGCTGGCCCCGTCGACCCCGTGCACCGCCTGTTAGCGGCCCTGTCGCTACTGCTGCTACTGCTACTGCTGCTGCTACTACTGCTACTGCTGCTACTATGGCTAGTCCTCCTGTGCTCGCTTTCGATACTGAGGGCCGCCCAGTGAAATTCGACACCTGGCTCGATGACCTGCACCTCTTCCTACAGCTCACTGCCAAGGAGGACATCTCACTGTACGATCATGCCCTCGGCCATACTACTGCCCCTCCTACTACTGCTGACAGCACTGCCCGCTCGCAGTGGCAGACTCGTGACGCCCATGCTCGCTTTGCTATTCGCAACTCCCTGCTGATAGATGAGCGCGAGCACTTTGGCCAGCACAAGACTGCTAAGGAACTGTTCACTGCTGTCGTTGCTCGCTACTCCTCACCTGCTTCTGCCGCACTAGGCCGCCTCTCACTCCCCTACCTGTTCCCCGACCTGGCCTCCTTTCACACAGTTGCTGACCTCATCACCCACCTCAAGACTAGTGAGGCCCGCTTCCGCGCTGCTATGCCCGATGAGTTCCTTGCCAGAAACCCCCCCCCCGCTCTGGCTCACTCTCTACCACATCGTCACCCGCCTCCCTGACTCTCTGCGCGCAGTCAGGGATCACTTCCTAGCTCGCTGCCCCACTGAGCTCACCATTGCCCTCCTCGAGAAGGAACTACTTGCAGCTGAGGCGAGCATCGTCGCTGTAGGTGCCTCTCGTGGCGAGCCCCGCACCCCTTTCTTTGAGGGGTGTTCCCCTTCCCCCCTTCTCCCCTCTGTAGCCTCTGCTTCTGCTGTCGACCTCCTTGGTGCTGAGAAGGTCGGGACGGCGTCTGCTCCGAGCGGGCGCCGCAGGAACAGAGGGGGCAAGGGTGGAGGTGGCGGCGGGGGAGGCGGGGGTGGAGGCGGTGGGAGTGGAGGAGGGGCTGGAGAGGCTAGTGGCGGCAGTGGGGGTGGTGACGGCAGCGGCGGGGGCGGTGGCAGGGGCGGGGGCGGCAGCGGGGGCGGAGGTGGTCGTGGCAGCGGCAGGGGAGGAGGTGGTCGAGGAGGTGGCGGCGGCGGTGGTGGTCGTGGAGGCGCTGGCGGTGGTCTGAGCCAGCAGCACACTCCGTCGCTCCAGGAGGCCCGTGAGTGGTATTCGCAGCGCCGGAGGGCAGGTGGCTTTAGCTGCACGTACGTCATTCGCACTGGTGACCGCACTGGTCAGACGTGTGGGAGGCCGCACCCCACGCAGCGCTGCTTCTCGCGCCTTGACGACGCTTGGCGCGCCCAGTTCCCTGATGGCGCTGAGCTGCCCCGCTGGGCTGATCTGGAGAGGAAGGGAGTTGATATCTGGGCTCTAGACTTTGATGCTATTCTCACTGCCATGTATGCGATGTTTACTAGTGGAGAGGGTGCTCAGTACTTGCGTGTTCCGCCCGACCCAGGCATTCTGACCAGTGAGGCTGCCGCTCTAGGTGCTAGTGAGGCTGCCACTGCAGGTACTCGCGTGTCTGCCACCTCAGGTGATGGTGAGGCTGCCGCTCTAGGTGCTAGTGAGTCTGTCCCCCCTGGTACTGAGTCGACTGAGGCACTGCACACCTTCACCCTGGACTCAGGTGCTTCTCGCTGTTTCTTTCGTGACCGCACTGCCCTTGAGCCGCTTGCTCGGCCAGTTGCTGTCTCCCTCGCTGACCCCTCAGGGGGTCCGGTCATTGCGACCTCCTCCACTGTTCTTCCCTGTCCTGCGGTCCCGTCGGGCACACTGTCCGGTCTCCACCTCCCCTCGTTCTCTACGAACTTGGTGGCGGGTTGTGCGCTCCAGGACGCGGGTGTTCACCAGTTCACCCCTGCCTACGAGCGCGTGACACACTGCACGTGTGCTCGGACGGGCCATCACCTGGCTACCTTCACTCGGCAGCCGGGGTCGGACTTGTACACACTGACCACTGAGTCCCCTCAGGTAGCTGCGTCCGCGTCCGCGTCTGCGTCAGGTCAGCTGTCGGCCCCCTGCTCGTGTCGCTCTCTGGCGCACGAGACCGTCCTCTGGCACCACCGACTTGGCCACCCGTCTGTGCAGCGCCTTCGGGCCATGCACAAACGGCACCTTGTCTCTGGTCTTCCCAGGGTTCTCCCTCCCCTCCCACCCTCGCCTGCTCCTTCCTGTCTTCCCTGTGTCGAGGGGCGGCAGCGCGCCGCTCCTCACTCCTCCTCCTTTCCCCCGACGACTGCTCCCTTGCAGACGCTCCACCTGGACGTGTGGGGCCCAGCCCGCGTCCGTGGACAGGGTCAGGAGAGGTACTTCCTGATTGTTGTTGACGACTACTCGCGCTACACCACGGTCTTCCCCTTGCGTACCAAGGGTGAGGTCCCTGATGTCTTGATCCCTTGGATCCGCAGAGCTCGTCTCCAGCTCAGCGAGCGTTTCCGCTCGGACTTTCCTGTCCTGCGTTTGCACTCTGACAGAGGTGGTGAGTTCTCCTCCGACCTCCTGGCAGCCTACTGTGCGGAGCACGGCATTGAGCAGTCGTTCACGCTTCCGGCCTCTCCACAGCAGAATGGGGTTGCTGAGCGCCGCATTGGCTTGGTCATGGAGGTCGCTCGTACCTCCTTGATCCATGCGGCTGCCCCCCACTTTCTGTGGCCGTTTGCAGTCCGATACGCTGCGCATCAGCTCAACCTCTGGCCCCGTGTCTCCTTACCGGAGACTTCCCCGACACTGCGTTGGACGGGAGAGGTTGGCGATGCGTCGCGTTTTCGGGTCTGGGGATCCCGAGCTTTTGTTCGCGATACGTCCGCGGACAAGCTCTCCTCTCGCGCTGTTCCTTGTGTCTTCCTTGGCTTTGTCCCGGATGCGCCTGGTTGGCAGTTTTACCACGTCACCTCGCGCCGGGTTCTGCCTTCTCAGGACGTCACTTTTGACGAGTCCGTCCCCTACTACCGCCTCTTCCCCTACCGCACTGCCCCGCTCCCCCCCCCCGCCTCTCTTCCTCGCGCCAGGTGCTGCTGTGGTAGACCCCCTCCCCCCTCAGGGTGCCGCTCCCTCAGGTGTGTCCCAGGTAGACCCGGTTGAGCCTGTTGAGGTAGCTGTCGACTCTCGTCCTGCTAGGGGTGCTGAGCCTGCGCGTGAGGAGCCTGGCGGTGCTGAGTCTGGGGGTGCGGAGTCTGGGGGTGCTGAGCCTGGGGGTACTGAGCCTGGGGGTGCGGAGCCTGGGGGTGCTGAGCTTGGAGGTGCGGAGCCTGGGGGTGCTGAGCCTGGGGGTGCTGAGTCTGGGGGTGCGGAGTCTGGGGGTGCTGAGCCTGAGAGTGCTACACCTGGAGGAGCCCTCTCCTCACAGCAACTGTAGGAGAGGTACCTACATACTGCAGCCTCAGGAGAGGTGCTGCTGGAGCTGGTACCAGTGCTTCCCCTCCTACCCGGGAGCTCCCCTCCCTTCAGCAGATCCGAGAGTGGTACACGCGACGCTGCAGTCTTCGGAGTGGCGCTCCTGGTGTTGTGGACCCTGGTACTGCAGGGGCTACTGGTGCTGAGGAGCCGGGCGTTGGAGCTGCTGCTGGTGCTGAGGAGCCGGGCGTTGGAGCTGCTGCTGGTGCTGAGGAGCCGGGCGGTGGAGCTGCTGCTGGTGCTGAGGAGCCGGGCGGTGGAGCTACTGCTGGTGCTGAGGAGCCGGGCGCTGGAGCTGCTGCTGGTGCTGAGGACCCGGGCGGTGGAGCTGCTGCTGGTGCTGAGGACCCGGACGCTGGAGCTACTGCTGGTGCTGAGGACCCTGACGTTGGAGCTGCTGCTGGTGCTGAGGACCCGGTCGGTGGAGCTGCTGCTGGTACTGAGGACCCTGCCACTGGTGTCTCTACTGGTTCTGGAGACGCTGCGCGGCCGCGACCTTACTTCGTGCCGCTCCTTCAGCAGGTTCTTGGTCAGACTCCTCCTCCTTGTCCTCCTTCCTCCGTAGAGTGTCCTTCGTCTATCCAGTCGCAGTCGCAGTTACCGCCTGCCGCGCCTCTCCCTGGTCCCTCCCCTTACACTGGTCCGACAGGAGGTCTTACGGAGCGTCGTGAGCCTGAGTCTCGTCCTGTGTCGCCTGTTCGTACTGCTCGCACTGGTCGTCGTGTCCCACGTGAGCGTCCTCCTCCTGTCCCTGGCACTCACTACATGACTCTGCGTCCCTCCACTGCTCCTCAGCGTGTCCCTCTGCCGTCTCCTCCTGCGTCCTCTCTACCTACTCTTCCTGACCCGGAGTCTGACTCCTGTCGTGCTGCCAGTCCCACTGTCACGCGTCTCCTCGCCACTGTTGTCACTGACCCTACCTTTGAGTCCTCTGCTGCATCTGCTCTGGTCGCTGAGTTGGTTGACTTTGCTGCTCGGTGTCGTCTAGACTACGCTGCTAGCCTTGTTGCTGAGTCTGAGTGTGTCTGTCCTCCGTCCGTCGGGGGTGAGTATGTACTTGGCACGGACGTCCTTGAGGACAGACAGGAGGAGTTCCAGTGCTTTGCTGCTGCTTTGCCCCGTCTCGTGTCCATGCTAGTCGCCCCTGAGGGAGACCCGGATGCACCAGACATCCCGACTCCGCGCTCTTACGCTGAGGCGATGGCGGGTCCCTACTCCTCTCAGTGGCAGACAGCCATGGACGCAGAGATGGCTTCCTGGAAGTCCACAGGCACCTACGTTGACGAGGTTCCCCCACCTGGGGCGAACATTGTCAGTGGCATGTGGATTTTCAGGGTGAAGCGGCCGCCGGGTTCTCCTCCTGTCTTCAAGGCGCGCTACGTTGCTCGAGGCTTCAGTCAGCGAGAGGGAGTAGACTTCTTCCAGACCTTCTCCCCCACCCCGAAGATGACCACTCTTCGGGTGCTGCTACACATAGCCGCTCAGCGCGACTACGAGCTTCACTCACTTGACTTCAGCACTGCTTTCCTACAGGGCAGCCTGCACGAGGAGATCTGGCTGCGTCGCCCTCCTGGCTTCACTGGGTCGGTTCCTCCTGGTACCCAGTGGAGGCTCCAGCGACCGGTCTACGGTCTCCGCCAGGCGCCACGTGAGTGGCACGACACACTGAGGACTACACTTGCGGCTCTTGGGTTCACTCCTTCTACTGCTGACCCGTCGCTGTTTCTACGCACCGACACCTCGCTGCCGCTGTTCTACATCCTCGTGTACGTCGACGACTTGGTCTTTGCCACGGCTGACACTGCGGCACTCGCCCACGTGAAGTCGGAGCTGCAGAAGAGACACACGTGCACAGACCTGGGTGAACTGACAAGCTATCTTGGCTTGCGGATCACTCGGGACAGAGCACGGCGCACCATCACCTTGACTCAGTCACACATGGTGCAGCAGATCCTTCAGCGCTTCCGCTTCACGTACTTCTCGCCTCAGTCCACTCCTCTGCCTACCGGTCACTCGCTCTCAGCTCTGCCTTCGGATGAGTCCGTAGAACCGAGTGGCCCGTATCCAGAGCTTGTGGGCTGCCTCATGTACCTGATGACCTGCACTCGACCTGACCTTGCATACCCTCTTAGCATCCTTGCACGCTATGTCGCTCCTGGCCGTCACAGGAAGGAGCACATGGATGCCGCTAAGAGGGTGTTGCGCTACTTGTGCAGTACGTCGGGCATGGGGCTAGTGCTTGGAGGGCGAGACCGAGTTGTACTTACTGGACACTCAGACGCTTCTTGGGCGGACGACCAGGCTACTCAGCGGTCGTCTCAGGGTTACACCTTCAGTCTTGGCTCTGGCTCTGTTTCTTGGCGTTCTACACGCTCTTCTTCTGTTCTCAGCTCCAGTTGCGAGGCTGAGATCTACGCCACAGCCATGGCGGCCCAGGAGCTACGCTGGCTGACCTACCTGCTGACCGACTTGGGAGAGCGACCTCGTTCTCCTCCAGTGTTGTACGTCGACAACAAGGCTGCCATTGCCTTGTGTGAGGAGCACAGACTGGAGCACAGAACGAAGCATATCGCCCTGCGGTACTTCCTTGCTCGAGAGCTGCAGCAGCGCGGTCAGCTTTGTCTGCGTTACGTGGCCACTGAGGCCAACACTGCTGATGTGTTCACCAAGGCACTTCAGCCTTGTGACCATCAGCGCTTCTGTACTCTTCTAGGCCTTGTGCCTGCTGGTCCTCACTTGCTTACTTCTTGACTTTGTTTGTACTGTGATCTCTCTATATACATGCTTGTTTATACTTGCTAGGCTGTGATCACTGTATCTCCTGTTATATTATCAAACTGCGTGTGAACTGGTCTTGTGACCACTTGCTTGTGCTCAGAATTTGTGTGGTATCCTTGAGATCCACCCTGAGCTTGCTTTTCTTTGCTTTGACTGGTCTCATGACCCTGTGGTTGTCTCCCACTGCGCCTATGGGGGTGTGTCAAACATTATATGTTTATATTGTGTAGGCTGTAGTGGGTTACACCTTAGGGGGTACACAAAGTTAGGGTTTCCTACTTGTACCAAACTCTGTGCTAGTTCAATTCATTCCTTGCTTCAGTTATTTTGACAAAATAAGATAACAAACATAAATCTTAAACAATCTTAGAGGGTTGGTTAGCCCCTTGGCCCCGCTGCGGGCAATCGGCTATTCCATGGCCGGGCTCGCGGCAATAGAAGCAACGTCCGTCGACATCCCGACGCCAAGTCCAATGGCGTTCCCCTTGGCCTCGATGGCGAGGAGCGGGGCTAGGGCGGGCGGAGGAGGTGGGTCTTTGGGGTCTCTTTTTGCTAGCCGCCACAATCTGGGTGGCGGCCTTCACATTTTTATCCTCCACCACCTCACCATACTTAATCTTTAAAGCCATGTTGGCCACTTCGAATCCGCGTTGATCCGCGGTAAACAAGAAATGAATCTTTTCTTCCGCCTCGTCAACGATCTGCTGGAGGTAATCAGCTAGTTGCTCGCCGCCGTGAGAGGGTAGAATAGAAGATGCATGGCGTGCGATTGCTTGAATGCGTTCGAAGCTAAACAGTTGAGTACGGATGCCGTCGCTTTTGACAAGCGATTGTCAGAATATTATGCTCTAGCCTGTAGTGGGGTGCTCTGTAGCGAGTACAACCCTTCTAGGGTTTGCTATTTGTATCCCCATTCTTGCTAGTGCAACCCCTCTCTTTCGCCTAAACTCTCTTGCCTAGCTAGGACTCTCCTAGCTATGGCTCCTAAGACTACCGCTTATCTCAACATGGCATCAGAGCTTAACGTTCCTGGCCTGTGGGCCCACTTCACTGCTTCCGCTGCTACTGCTACTCCCTGTCCGCCGCGCGCCCCGTGGTGCGCGGCGTCGAAACTAGGGTTTTCAGCCCGCCGTGCGCCCCGAGGCGCGCGGCGGTTTTCTGCCCGCCGTGCGCCCCGAGGCGCGCGGCGGTTCTCTGCCCGCCGTGTGCCCCGAGGCGCGCGACGGGTTCCTGCCCCGTCACTCGGCACGTCGCCCCCGGGAGGCGCTGCGACGGGCGACGGGGACCCGCGCGTCGCCCCCCGTCGCCCGTCGTGGCCTGCGCGCGGCCCGTACACCCGGCGCGCGGCCCGTACGGGCTGCGCCAGGCCCGCGCGCGGCCCGTACGGGCTGCGCCAGGCCCGCGCGCGGCCCGTACGGGCTGCGCCAGGCCCGCGCGCGGCCCGTACGGGCTGCGCCAGGCACGCGCGCGGCCCGTACGGGCTGCGCCAGTCCCGCGCGCGGCTCGGACCGCCTGCGCGCGGTTCGGGAGGCTGTGCCAGGCCCGTGGGCGCCCCGTTCTTCGCTGCCCCTGTCCTCCCCGCTGTCCCCCGTGCTTCTGAAGGCGCCCCACCCCTCCTTCTGCCCGTTCTCCTGGATTAGGGTTTGGGGTTGGGGGGTATGGGGGTGCAGCTTCTGTGTGCCGTTCCCTGCTCCTCCTCCTCCTCCGTCTCCCTGTGCTGCAGCTGCCGCTGAGGGGGGTGGACCTGTTGGAGCCGTCGGAGTGGTACTAAGGGGGGGTGAAGGGGGAGTGGAGCTAGCGGTGTAGCAGCGGGTGTGTGTCGAGGGATGTGGGACTGTTGGGGGAGGTTGAGGGGAGGTTGCCGTCGTGTCGTACGCAGCGCCTGTACTCCGGGGCACTCACTCCCGGTAGCTCAGAGAGCCGGTTGCGCCGTCGCCTGTGGGTCCGTTGCTCCTGCTGCTCGTCTTAGCCGCGGAGCCTGTTACTCCTGTACTCCGGGGCACTCACTCCCGGTAGCCACTGTGTCGCACCAGAGCCGTCTGTTGCCCGTGTGACTGCAGCTTCAGTCGTCGCCTCCCATCTACTCTCCTCTCGCCAGCCCTCCTCCTCCTCACTTCCCCGTTGTGACTACCACTAGCTTTGCTCATAATTGTGAACTTTAAACTATTGCTTCTTAAACTTGTGCTCAGAATGTGTGGTGACATTGTGATCCACCCTGAGCTTGTACTACTTTGCTTGCTCTGCTGATTACACCCCACTTTGGCTATGGGGGTGTGTCAGAATATTATGCTCTAGCCTGTAGTGGGGTGCTCTGTAGCGAGTACAACCCTTCTAGGGTTTGCTATTTGTATCCCCATTCTTGCTAGTGCAACCCCTCTCTTTCGCCTAAACTCTCTTGCCTAGCTAGGACTCTCCTAGCTATGGCTCCTAAGACTACCGCTTATCTCAACAGCGATGAGCGCAATTGAGGACGAGCAGGAGGTATCGGAGCAAGATTGATAGTTGCTGGGTTGGTCTTGGGACGAGTAGTATTACCTTCGTCGAGTTTCTCCAAGTTCTCGTGATCGTCGTCGTCGCCTTCGTCCTCGGGATTAAGAGGGGGAGGAGGCGCGCGGGGACGAGGTGCCGGTGCAGCTGGCGGACGTGCCGGATCAGCTGCTGCCACAGGATCACCGGGGTTGCCACGCTGGAGCGCTGCAAGGAGGCCGATCACGTGTCGAATGGCGTCGTTATTATTTGCTGCCGCTCCAATATTGTTTTCCGTATATCGCGCCGAGTTGTTATCGTTGGTACGACGTGCTGTAGAAGCGCCGGACCTCGCTGTAACGCGTTCTCCGGCAGTTTCGGTGAAGTATCGCCGCAGATTCTACTGGCTGGCGGGGTCAAGGCGAGCAATTATGTCAGCAATTTCCGAAATTCCAAGTGCCTGATTGCGCGGATCCTGCTCCTCGTCTTGATTCTCGCGCCGATTTGCCGAATCAGGGCGACGATCCGCGCGTGCAGGCTCCCGATTCTGCCGCTCGCCCCGCTCAGTGTCGCGGCCGCGATTTGCACGTGCAGAATCGCGATCGCGATCTGCACGAGCAGAATCGCGAAGATTGCGATCTGCTCGTGCAGAATCGCGATTCTCGCGATCGGCCTGCGCAGGACCACCATCATTGCGGTCCTGCGCCTGGCCTGCAGCGGCCGGCCGAGCCGAGGCGTTTTCGCCAGGCTGACTCTGGTCGACGGTTGCGCGTGGGTTTCGCCCCTCGCCGTGAAATCCGGGGGGGGCGCGCTCGTTACCACCGTTGCGACCAGGTTCGTCGGCAACCACATTGGGAGCAGGAACGGGGGGTTGTCGCGTGCTCAACAGCTCCACAGCCGTTAAGGTCGCGTTACCGCCATTTTGCCGGGGAGATCGGGAGCGATCACGCTGGGAGGAAGAACCGCGATCTTCGTCCCTTGTCGGGGAACCGCGCCTGCCGCTGCTGCGCGTAACCATTCTTGGAGCAGGAGGTCGGCCGGTTACGGCGGAAACAAAACCAGTCGCCATTGCAGAAAGCCTAAAGTTGACTACGTCTTTGATCAGAGTACTCCTAGGAGAGGTACAAGGCATAGGAAGGGTTTAGAGAGTGTGCTGGTGGTAAGCAAAATGAAGATCTGAAAATGCAAATGAGGCTAGGTGGCAAGTCTGAGAGACCTGCCGGAATGTGAAGGAGCTTGACTCCTTTACAGCAAACTCATCTACTAGTCGAATCACAATCTTCAAATTTGTTGAAGTAACACTTAAAAATTTTTACATATTTGGTACCCTTAGGGCGTGCTTGATTCTATTCTAGGTTAAAAAAACAGGTCGAACTTTGTATGGTTACCGGCTTCGTAAATCTCGCGAAAGCTATGTGACGAAAGACCTTTCCTTTGAACACATGGCAAATGCGACCTAAGTTTTCCGAACTCGACTCGAGTCAATGCATAAATGCGGGCGCGTACAGTGAGCCGAACGTGTGTTGTTTTGCGCACGTACGACGAGTGGCGAATTTGGCGAAACCTCTGCGACGCAATAAAACCTCAGCCGAAAACCACAGTCAGTATGTTGACGTGGCGCGATGTCAACGGAATTATACCTGGTAACCTACATTCCCTACGAGCGGCTCTGCGCACCCCCTATAAGGTCGAACATTCAAATTCGACCTTGGGTGTGTGATTTGACATACCTGAAAATGTTTTGCGCGGTTCAAACTTCACGTTCAGCGGAAGTCGAACACTGTTCGGCTCAAGTTCAAATGCTACATTCGACAAAAAAAATGTGAGCTTAACCAATTTCTAGAATCACACACGCCCTTAAAAAACAAAATTCATTTTTCCCATTTCTTAAGCGCATGCGCTTGCCCATTCCTCATTTACAAGCGCACCCCCTAAAAAAATCGATTTTATTATAAGCGCATATGCGCTACTATCCGGGGGGATGCGGCATGTGTCTTATAATCAGAACAGGGGTTTCGGGGTTTTCTTATAAACAGGGGGGTGTCTTTTGAATGATGCTTGATTACTTTAAGGGGGTACATGCATACATTCATGAATCTCTCACCTAGCCCCCCTCAGTAACGGCATCCTCACCTGCACTAACAGCATGCTCCCTAACACCCAGGTCTAGCACTCGCCATGCATGCCTAGCCGTTTGCCTAGGCCCGATCATGCGGTCAGCCTCGGCCACCGCTCCGTGGTAGTTGGGGGTCTTCTGGTACAGCACCTCCAGGTTGGTTGCCACGGCCACCTCCCTCACGCCCTCCGCCTGCATCTCCTCCTCCTCCTCCTCCTCCTCCTCCTCCTCCTCCTCCTCCTCCTCCTCCTCCTCCTCCTCCTCCTCTGGAGCCTGCCCAAGCAGGCGCATGTTGTCGCTCGTGGTTCCCTCAAGGCACATGTCCTCGGAGACATCGGTGGTGCTCCTGGCGCGCAGGTGAGACATCACCAGGTGAATCTCCGTCCCGTCCAGCTTGCTTGAAATCCCACAGTGACGGAAAAGTCAATGATGACCTGCTTGGGGACTTGATCCCACGCCTCCGCGATCCACTGCAGCTAAACGACGCTGGCAACAGATGCTGCAAGCACGGAGGGAAGTTGCCAGCAGTGGCAGCTTTGCTGCATCCCTCACGTGGCAAGTGCGGGAGCTGCATGCTGTTGGGCTGAGAAAAGCCCTTAGGATCTTTTCAAGGCTAAGATTCTAAGTAGGAATATTGTAAGTGCGAAAGCGTTTAATGAACTTGTTGAACCACCTTGCGCTAGTGTGTGAGGGCAAGATAGATTGATTATAGCAGGATAATATGGGTCTTTTATAAGATTACAAGGAATATGAAAGGATGCAACTAATAACCGTTTTACTGTTGCTGTTGCGGTTTGATACAGTGACGACTCGGGCAACTGCTCAATACCGAGTCAGTTGTTTGTCCTTGCTGTCGCGCTGCCTTTCGTCGAGTCAAAGGTCGATGACCTCTGACCTTCGCGTAACCTCCAGCTGTTACGTTTTGTCAACCTCCTCGGTTGACTCGCCGTTGCTTCGCTGTAGTTCGCCTTGTTTGCAGTTCGATGGTTTAACACATCAGAAGCGTTTAAATTAATTGTTTCCAACACTCCCCTTCGCTTTTGGAGTGTCGTTGCCGGTGACGTGGCCTTGTCCAGTCAGCAGCATGCAGTACTCGAACTTCTGCTTTCCAAGTTTCTTGGTCAAGTAATCTGCTGCCATCTCGGATGTGGGGCAGTAGGATAGCTCGAGTCTCCCTTTCTCGATCTCGTCTTTCACGAAGAAATATCGCAGGGCGATGTGTTTCGTTCGATTCGCAAGCCCTTTCTTGTTCGCTATGCGAATAGTCGATTGGTTGTCGCAGAATAGGGAGAAGCTGGGTAACTGAGCCAGCTTTGCTTCTTCCAGCAGTTCGCGAAGGTACAATCCTTCTTTGGTGGCTGAGCAGAGTGCGATGTATTCTGCTTCAGCTGAGGAGAGAGCAATTAGCTCTTTCTTTCGCGACTGCCAGGAGATGGGACCGATAGGTTCGAGTCGGTAGATGTAGCCGGTGCGCAATCGCATGTTGTCGGAGTAGCCGGTGCGGTCAGCATCCACGTAGCCGATTAGCTTGGGCGTCGTGGTTCCATTTTTTTTGGTTGGTTAGACTGATCGTCGGAGTGCTGACGAGGTAGTGAAGATCGCGATCTAGTTCGGCCATGTGATCCGCTTCAGGCTTCTTGAGGTAGGTGGCGAGTTGACTCGCTGAATACGATAGATCCGATCGGCAGGTAACGGCTGGGAAGAGTAGACATCCCAGCTTTCGCTGGTAGTCGCGTATGCCGGAGGATTTGAGTAGAGCGGAGGTCTCCTTGCGATTTCCGTCGGAATAGCGGTATGGTGTGGTGATGACGGTTGGGGTTAGTCCGAAGCGTTTGGCGATGGTGTCGGCGTATTTTGCGGCGCTGAGGTAGATCGCATTTTCTCCGTCTTGTATGTTGAGTCCGAGGTACTGTGTGACTGTCGAGGAAACGGTGAGTGTGAGGTCCCACTGCAGCTCCCCTTCGAACCAAGTCGTAATGCCGTCGGTTGAGCCGATGTAGAGCAGATCGTCCACGTAGACGATGAGTAGGATGTAGTCGGTGCCTTTCGTGAGCCGGTACATGCCTTGGTCATGTGGCAATTGGCGAAATCCGATGCGAATCAGTCGGGCGTGCAGGTACTGCTGCCATAGTCTCGGAGCTTGCTTGATGCCGTATAAGGACTTCAGCAATTGACAGACTTGGTTGGGGTCTGCGTTGGAGCCGTATGGTTGCTCGACGAAGATTTCAGCATCGACAGGAGCGTAGAGAAAGGCATTGGCGACGTCCATTTGGCAGAGCTTCTTCCGTTTCATGGCTGCTATCGCGAGGAGATTCTGGAGAGGGGTGTGTCGACTAACCGGTGCGAAAGTTTCGGTGAAGTCTCGTCCATGGTCTTGGTCGAAGCCACGTACGACCCAGCGCGCTTTAAACTTGTCGATCGTTCCGTCAGCTTTTGTCTTCTCGCGGAAGACCCATTTTCCCATGAGAACGGTTTTGTTGCGTGCCATTCCGATAGGTTCGCTTTGTAGGTGTTACGTTCTTCTAGCGCCTTTAACTCCCTGCCCATGGCTTCGTGCCATTTTTCCCTGTACTCCCCCCCCAGAGCCTGTTGAACTGTCGCAGGCTCCTTAGGTGGCGCTGCTCCGTGGACGGCGGTGACGAGTCCCAGTATCTGCAGTCCACTCTGTGTGTAGCGAGGGAGGTTTGCGTCCTCGGGATAGACTGCTTCGTCTCCCGCTCGCTTCAGGATCAGGTAAGAAGTTGGGTCCTATGCGTTCTGAAATGTTGGTATTGACTGGCTGGGGTGTAACGTAACCGTTCTCGGCAAAGTCGTAGTAGACTTCGGCGTTGATGCTTTCGCGTGGGTTGTCGTCGTCCATCGGGATGTCCACCAAACAGTAGGGTAGAGGTCCAGCTTCCTTCGAAGCTCCGCCCACGTTCTTCTCATCCCAGTCAGCTTCATCTGCTGCCGAAGCGAAGGCTCGGTCACCATGAAACCCTCTCGTAGGGTCTCGTTCTGCTGCCAAGTTGTCCAGATACGTTTGAAGGGTGAGTCGTTCGTAGAAAATGACGTCGCGTGCTGCCACTGTTTCCTTCGACTGGACGTCAAAGATCTTCCACGCGTTGTAGTGTTTTTCGATGCCCAGGTGTAGCCCCCACTATGCTCGTTGTGAGAATCGGCCGGCTCCTGCAGTTGGGGGCCGGTACTGTACCATGCAGCCGAAAACTCGTAACATTTTTGTGCTGCCCAATTTTCCTGTCCATAGCAGGTGCGGCGATGCGTTGTTCGGAAGTGATGATGACGAGAGCAAGTCGTGCAGCATTACAGCGTGGACCATCGCCTCAGGCCATTGGCTGTCAAATAGTCACATGATGCGCAACAGCTTGCACATGGTGGTCTAGAGAGTTCTGTGTTGTGTGATGCAATCATTTGCATTCACGTCTGTCTGCCTCCCATCATATATTTGTGCGTTGCATGCGCGGTGTGAGCGTGTGCAAGAATTTGTGATTCGTGTGGTTTGGATTCTTTGAGCATGTGTGAATGATATTTTGCTTAAGAAGATATTTGAAATGACTCCTCCGCTCAAGAGCTTTCCGTCGAACCAAGAATCGCTTCAATCGGAGCACGAACGAGAAAGTTACGAACGTTCGAAGTTCGTATGCTTCTCATGTTTGGTTGTGACGACTATGGGAAGTTGTGGGAGTGACTCTATATGGGGTATAGACTTTTGGGGGTTGGGAAATTCGTGAACATCACTGTAGATACTGCCAAGTGGTTGGGAGAAACCAAACCAGGTTGGCAAGTGTGGCCAAGTTGGGTTGAGGTGGATTGTGGAGGTTGGGATAGTGACAAAGGTCAAAGTTGGGTTGCCTATGGGGAAGGGAATTGTGTGGTATGGGGTTTCCTTGGTTGGGGACTCTCTTGGGACCTTCCCTCTCGTCCTCCTCTTCCCTCCTACCTGGTTTATTGCTACTCTAACTCTCTTGTGTGTAACTTGTGAATCTTGTGACAACAATTGTGATTGAGTTAACTATCCATGGCAGCATACCCCCCAGTGCGCCAAGACTCAAAACTCTAGATTTAGTTCACTTTTTGACGTGATACAAATTGCGACTTGTAGTTACGGTCTAGAGATACAACATACTCGGTTTTTGTGAGATTCTAACGGTTAACTTTCCGTCGACAGCGATTCTTGTGAAATCGACGATTCTGTCCAGAATTCTAAGCCAACGATTTTGTGATATTTCGGCCTCTAATCTTGACAGACTCTGCCCTAATCTCTACATTCTGTTCATCCGTTCTGCCACACCTTGCTGTTGATGGGCGTAGGGAAGCGAGATGAGTCGCTTGATGCCTCGTTTTGCCAGGTACTGCTTGAACCTTTGTGACTGATACTCCCATCCCCCGTCTGACTGGAAGCTTTTCAGCTTCACTCCTGATTCTCGTTCTGCTACTGGAAGCCAGGCGACGAAGGCTTCGAAGGCCATGTCGCGGCTTGGAAGGTTGAGATGCCAGACGTAGCGGGTGGCGGCATCGATGAACGTGATGGCGTAGATATATGCTCCTTGTCCTTGTGCACGGGCCTGCAGGATGTCGCTGTGGACTTTCTCCAGTGGTGCGTATGCTGGTGCGCTCGGGTTGTGGTGAGAGACGAACGGTTGATGAGGTAAGTCAGCTTCGGGGCAGGTGAAGCATGTTACGCGAACTCGTTGAAGTTCTCTGCCGTCGTGTAGAAGCAGTGGGTCCTTGTCAAATACTCCTGCCCTGATCGTGTTTTTTAACATTGTGTTCCTCAGGTGTCCCATCCTTGCATGCTAGATTGATTCGCTTGCACGGTGTCCTGGTGAACGCCTGCACAGGTCGGAGTTGGAGTAGAAGCCTGCGGTGAAGTTGGTGCTTCTCTAGATTTCTCGTGGAATGGGAGCTAGCTGCTGTGCAGGAGTTGGTGGCGTATCGTCGATGGGGACTGGTGCTCTTGAAGGACCAGCGATTGGTGTTGTAGCCGGTGTCGTTTCTGCTACTGCTGTTGCCGATGTTATTTCTGTCACTGCTGATGTTGTCTCTGCTACTGCCGATGTTGTCTCTGCTGCTGCCGATGTTGTTTGTTGCTGCTGATGTTGTCTCTGCTGATGTTTGTCTTGTTTCTAACGCTCTTGTTCGCTCTGCTTCAGGTATAGTATGTGAGTACCAGAATCCTCCAGGACTAAAGTCGGGGTCGAGATCTGGCGGGTGTGTCCAAGAGGTGAAGTTGACGATGGCGTCGCTGTCGGCGGTGCTGTGGTCTAGAACGAAGTCAAGGACGAAGACATTATACATTATTCTTCAGGACTGCTTTGCCGATGTAGAGTCCACCCTTCCCGTGGTACAGCTTGAACTCCCGAGTGGCGCTGTCTGCTTCGCGATGAATTCCCTTTGCCATCAATTGGCTGATGCTGAGTAAGTTGTAACCGACTCCCTCTGCGATTGAGACCTTCGACATTTGCAGAACAACGTTGGTCTCTCGAGACTGAAGTTGAACTATCCCTTGTCGTCGTGTGCGCAGGTTCTGGTTGTTGGCGACAGTGATGACGACTTCGAGGTGAAGCTGTTGTTCTCGTTGAACGAAACGACCCGAAGAGCGCATTTGCTGTCTACAGCAGCTGTCCAAGAACCAGGTGTCTTTCCCGGATGGCTCGCTTTGAGCGATGGCTGCGTACGTTGGATTGGGCTCCAATGACTCGCGGCAAGGAGTACTTTCACCGAGCAATTCTTCTGGTGAGTAGTGCGGCGGTGATTCGGTGATGCAGGAGTCTGTTATTATTGCCATGATGCTCCGATATTTCTTGTGCTTTGTGCAGGTCGAGTCGTCGATGTCGTTGGAGACTGCACTTGATTGGTGGGATGGGCCTGTGTCGAAGCCACCTGACTGCACTTGAAGGTCGAAGTTGACGTTGCGGCGGCGTTGAATGCCGTTGATTTGGGCAATGAGTGCGAGGATGTCCTGACGTCTTGCAGAGATGGCAGAACGGTGGTACGTGTCGTTGTGCTTGATGTTTTTTTTGCCGGTTGTTGTTGTTGTTGTTGTTGTTGTTGTTGTTTTTGTTGTTGTTGTTGTTGTTGTTGTTGTTGTTGTTGTTGTTGTTGTTGTTGTTGTTGTTGTTGTTGTTGTAGCGTCGTTGAGTATGAAAAGCGAACTCAGGTACTAACGTTCTTCTCTTGTGACGTTGTTCGTGCAGGTCCATGTCCTGCTGTTCAGCGTAAATTTCGGCACAGATTGCCGTTTCGGAGATCTTCCCGTGAGCTCGGAGAATAGCTCGAATGGAGCGCCAATGAGGACCGAGGTCAGTGATGACGACTGTGACGAAGGCTTCTTCGGATATCGATCCTCCGCATCGAAGGAGTCTGTCGCGCAGTCCGCGACAACGACTGATGTACGCCATTCCCTTTTTGCCAGTTTCATTTCCAATTTTGTCAGTTGTGCCATGAGGCGACTCTGATTAACGCTGTCTCTTGCTTGATACAGGTTCTTCATATGGTTGTACGCGAGCTCGGCGGAGTTGCAGTAACCACGATAAGACCAGATGTTCTGCTGCTCGTTCGGCGTTATGTTTCGTAGGAGTATCGTATACGCCATCAGCGATTGATACGTGTACTGCTGCTTGTCGTACTGTGTTCCGTGCGTTGGGTATGGCAGGGAACCGTCGAAGAATCCAAGGATTTGCGCGCCTTCCATCACCAGCTCGAACTCGAACGACCAGGTGAAGAAATCCTTGCCGTCGAACGGTGTTGATGTTTGAAGTTTTAGAACGTGAGCAAGCTGCGACTGTGCTTGAAGTGTGTCTAGTGCTCTCTCTTGTCCAGGTGGAGGCTGATTCGGCATGAAGCTGGTGGAGCCGCGCTGAGGCTCGTACGGGGCAAAGGTAGGTTGTTGCTGGTTTCCGCGCGCATATGATGAGCCGTCAAGACTCATTGGAGTGACGCCATTGTTGTTGTCGCTGTTGTTTGATTGCGCAGGTGCTGCTTGCTGGTGCTACTCGTAAAAGGACATGAAGGAGAAGAATTTCTCCATCATGCTTGGGTCGAAGCCAGTTGCCTGGTTCGCAGGTGTTTCATTAGACTCAGCAGCTGGTCTTGTTGCCGTGCCTCCCTCTGTCTGTAGGCCAGAGGCTGGAGGTGGAGTAGGAGTAGTGCCGGGGGATCCGTTAGAGGAGCTTCTCTCCTTCTGTGTTGCCATGCCTTCTGTTGTTGTAGGAGATTTGAATGAAGTTGGATCTTGCCTTGTAGCTCTCATACCATGTTGGGCTGAGAAAAGCCCTTAGGATCTTTTCAAGGCTAAGATCCTAAGTAGGAATATTGTAAGTACGGAAGCGTTTAATGAACTGTTGAACCACCTTTCGCTAATGTGTGAGGGCAAGATAGATTGATTATAGCAGGATAATACAGGTCTTTTATAAGATTACAAGGAATATGAAAGAATGCAACTGATAATTGATTTACTGTTTTTGTTGCGGTTCGATACAGCAACGACTCGGGCAACTGCTCAATACCGAGTCAGTTGTTTGTCCTTGCTGTCGCGCTGCCTTTCGTCGAGTCAAAGGTCGCTGACCTTTGACCTTCGCGTAACCTCCGGCTGTTTCTTTCTGTCAACATCCTCGGTTGACTCGCCGTTGCTTCGATATAGTTCGCCTTGTTTGCAGTTCGAAGTTTCGCCACATCAGAAGCGTTTAATTAATTGTTTCCAACACATGCATCACCACCGAGGTCGTCCTGTTTTAATGAATCTGGCACAAGGGTGGTTTCTACACACACTGCAAATGTTACAGAGTACTTATTTTTTTCCATTTATTAGACTTTTATAAGACACCCTAAACCATCCCAAATACAAGATAACCCAAGCATTTTGAGTAGTGTACGAGATAAGACATATATGTTTACTATCCGGGCGATGACGGTACTTGTGTTGGTGTTACACTTTGGAATGCTAGGGTTGGGTTTAGGTATTTGTACCTGTCTTTTGACATTGAGTTTGTCAGAAACTACAGGCAGGAAATGAATGACTAGATCAGAGTTTGGGTACAAATATGAAACCCTAATGCTCGAGGTTGTACCCCCTATTGGCTACCTTACTACAGCCTACACATATATAACATGCATATAATTTGACACACCCCCATAGGCAAAGTGGAAAAGAGCAAGGGGTCAGAAGACCAGTCAAGAAAAGCAAAGCAAGCTCAGGGTGGATCACAACGTCACCACACACACTGAGCACAAGCAAAGGGCCACACGGCCAGTTCAGATGCAGAGATATATATTTAGCAATAACAGCACAGTGATCACTACCTAGCAAGAGCAAGCATGCAGGTATATATATAGATCACAGTACAAGCAAAGTCTACAGCAAGTGTGGAAACGTAGGCACAAGGCCTAACAAAGTACAGAAGCGCTGATGATCACCAGACGGAAGTGCCTTGGTGAATATATCAGCAGTGTTGGCCTGGGTGGCCACGTGAGCAAGACGAAGCTGACCTCGCTGCTGCAACTCTCGAGCCAGGAAGTAACGCAGAGTGATGTGCTTCGTTCTGTGCTCCAGTTTGTGCTCCTGACACAAGGCAATAGCGGCCTTGTTGTCGACGTACAGAACTAGAGGAGAACGAGGCCTCTCTCCCAAGTCGGTCAGCAGGTAGGTGAGCCAGCGTAACTCCTGTGCAGCCATGGCTGTGGCGTAGATCTCAGCCTCACAACTGGAGCTGAGAACAGAAGACGAGCGCGTAGACCGCCAAGAAACAGAGCCAGAGCCAAGGCTGAAGGTGTAACCCTGTGACGACCGCTGCGTAGCCTGGTCGTCGACCCAAGATGCGTCAGAGTGTCCAGTGAGGACAACGTCGCTCCGTCCTCCAAGCACGAGCCCCATGCCCGATGTACTGCACAGGTAGCGCAGTACCCTCTTAGCAGCATCCATGTGCACCTTTCGGTGCCTACCAGGAGCCACGTAGCGAGCCAAAAGGCCAAGAGGGTACGCGAGGTCAGGTCGCGTGCAGGTCATCAGGTACATGAGGCAGCCGACTAGCTCTGGGTAAGGACCACTCGACTCTACGGACTCGTCCGAAGGTGGAGCTGAGAGCGAGTGACCTGTAGCCAGAGGAGTAGACTGTGGCGAGGACCAGGTGAAGCCGAAGCGCTGAAGGACCTGCTGCACCATGTGTGACTGAGCTAGAGTGATGGTGCGACGTGTGTCTCTTCTGCAGCTCCGACATCACCAAGGCGAGAGCCTCAATGTCAGCAGTGGCAAAGACCAAGTTGTCGACGTACACGAGGATGTAGAACGGCGGCAGCGAAGTGTCAGTGCGCAGAAACAGTGACGGGTCAGCTGTCGAAGGAGCAAACCCAAGAGTCGCAAGTGTCGTCCTCAGTGTGTCGTGCCACTCACGAGGCACCTGGCGGAGACCGTAGACTGGCCGCCGGAGGCTCGACTGGGTACCAGGAGGAAACGACCCAGTGAAGCCAGGTGGGCGGTGCAGCCAGATCTCCTCGTGCAGGCTGCCCTGTAAGAAGGCTGTGCTGAAGTCCAGAGAGTGAAGCTCGTAGTCACGCTGAGCGGCAACGTGCAGCAGCACCCGAAGAGTGGTCATCTTTGGGGTGGGGGAGAAGGTCTGGAAGAAGTCAACTCCCTCACGCTGACTGAAGCCTCTAGCAACATCCTTGAAGACAGGCGGAGAACCTGGCGGCCGCTTCACCCTGAAAATCCACATGCCATCGACGATGTTCGCCCTAGGAGGGGGAACCTCGTCGACGTAAGTGCCTCTGGACTTCCAGGATGCCATCTCTGCGTCCATAGCTGTCTGCCACTGAGAGGAGTAGGGGCCCGCGATCGCCTCAGCGTAAGAGCGCGGGGTCAGGATGTCTGGTGCATCCGGGTCTCCCTCAGGTGCAAGCAGCATGGCCACGAGATGAGGTGCAGCGGCTGCAAGGCACTCAAGGTCCTCGTGCCTGTCCTCAAGGACGTCCGTGCCAAGAGCACACTCACCCATGACGGATGGAGGCCAGACAGACTCAGACTCAGCAACAAGACTGGCAGCGTAGTCTAGACGACAAGCAGCAGCAAAGTCAACAAGCTCAGCAACTAAGGCAGACGCAGCGGCAGAATCAAACAACGGGTCAGTAACAATAGTGGCTAACAGACGCGTGACAGTAGGGTGTGCAGCACGAAACCGGTCAGACTCAGGGTCCGGAACGTCAGGCAGAGAGGACGCAGGGGGAGACGGCAGGGGAACACGCTGCGGAGCAGAGGAAGGACGAAGGGCGACGAGGTGCGCGCCGGGGACAACCGGCGGACGCTGACGAGGAACACGACGACCGGTACGACCAGGACGAACAGGCGAGACAGGACGTGACGCAGGCTCACGACGCTCAGCAAGACCTCCTGTCTGCTCAGTGTAAGGAGAAGGAGCAGGCAGCGGTGAGCCAGGCTGTAACAGAAGACCAGTAGACGACGGGAGAGTAAGAACCTGGCGAAGCACAGAGTCAGGCGGTGGCTGAGACGACGGAGACGGCGGAGCGAAGAACAGTCGCGTCGGTGCAGTGCCACCAGCACCAGCAGCTCCAGCACCTCCAGCAGCTCCAGCACCCCCAGTGCCAGTACCTCCAGGACCAGCTCCACCAGCAGCAGCACCCCCAGAACCGGCACCTCCAGTCCCAGGGTCTCCAACCTCAGCGTCTCCAGCAGCAGCACCCCCAGAACCAGCACCTCCAGTCCCAGGGTCTCCAGCCTCTGTGTCTCCAGCAGCAGCACCCCCAGACGCAGCACCTCTAGCCCAAGCAGCTCCAGTACCTCCAGTACGAGCAGCTTTTGACCAGCGACTCCGGCACTCCATTAGACAAAGTACCAGTACCACTCCCAGCTCCAGCGACGTCAGCAGAAGCACCTCCAGCGGCAGAGCCCCGAGCTCCAGCAGCGCGACCCTGACGGCGACCGTACCACTCGTGCAGCTGCTGTGAGGTGAGAGGCACACGCGGACGAAGGCGGCCACTCCAAGGAGACCGTGCACTAGAAGTCCAGTACCCTCAGGCGCCGCACCCCCAGACTCAGCACCCCCAGGCTCCTCACGCTCAGGCTCAGCACCCCCAGACGCAGCACCCCCAGGCGCAGTACCTCCAGTCTCCTCACGCTCAGGCTCAGCACCCCCAGGCTCAGCACCCTCAGGCTCCTCACGCTCAGGCTCAGCACCCTCAGACTCGGCACCCCCAGGCTCAGCACCTCCAGGCTCCTCACGCTCAGGCACAGCACCCCCAGACTCCGCACCCCCAGGCTCAGCACCCCCAGGCTCCTCTTGCTTAGGCTCCGTACCCCCAGGCTCAGCACCCCCAGAGACAGCACCCCAAGCAGGGCCACCCCCAGCAGGACCTGAGTCACCAGTGACCTCAACAGGCGCAGGCACAGGAGGGTCTACCTGAGAAACACCTGAAGGAGCAGGACCTGGCGCGGGGAGGGGGTCTACCTGGGAAGGACCTGGAGCGAGAAAGAGCGGCGGGGGGGGGGGGGGCGAGGGGCAGTGTGATAGGGAAAGAGACGGTAAAAGGGGACTGACTCGTCAAAAGTGACGTCCTGAGACGCAAAGACACGGCGCGAGGTGGGGTCGTAAAACTGCCAGCCAGGCGCGTCAGGAGGAAAACCAAGGAAGACGCAGGGAATGGCGCGAGCAGAGAGCTTGTCCGCGGTGAGATCGCGGACAAAGGCACGAGCACCCCAGACCCGGAAACGCGACGCATCGCCAACCTCCCCTGTCCACAGCAGCGTGGCCGAGGTCTCCGGCAAGGAGACACGGGGCCAGAGGTTGAGCTGATGCGCGGCGTAGCGGACCGCAAACGGCCACAGAAAATGGGGAGCCGCCGCATGAATCATGGAGGTGCGAGCGACCTCCATGACTAAGCCAATGCGGCGCTCAACAACCCCATTCTGCTGCGGAGAGGCCGGAAGCGTGAGCGACTCGCGGATGCCGTGCTCCTCACAGAAGGCTCGCAAGAGGTCGGAGGTGAACTCACCACCTCTGTCAGAGTGCAGACGTAGGACAGGAAAGTCCGACTGGAACCGCTCGCGGAGTTGGAGACGAACAGCGCGGATCCAAGGGATCAGAACATCAGGGACGTCCCCCTTGCAGACCGTGGTGTAACGCGTGTAGTCGTCGACAACCAGCAGGAAGTACCGCTCACGGCCCTGCCCCTGGACGCGGGCTGGGCCCCACACGTCTAGGTGGAGAGTCTGCAGGGGAGCCTCTGTGGGAGGGAACGAGGAGGAGTGAGGAGCGGCGCGCTGCCGCCCCTCGACGCAAGGAATGCAGGGCGGCGCAGGCGAGGGAGGGAGGGCAGGCAGAGACCTGGGAAGACCAGAGACAAGGAGAGGAGAGAGAGTGCATGCCACGAAGGCGAGGCAGGGAGGGGTGACCAAGGCGGTGGTGCCACAGGAGAGTGTCGTGCGACAGGCGGCGACACTCACACTGGGTAGCTACCTGAGCAGACGCGTACAACTGTGGAGACAAAGGAGTGTAGCGTGAAACAGTGGTGAGGGTGTACAGACTGGACCCAGGCTCACGAGTGAACGTGGCCAGGTGGCGGCCAGTCTTGGAGCCGCCCGCTGTCCTCCAGGAGTCCAGGTGTCAACCCAATTATCCTGAAGGACGGCGTTGCTCACCAGGTTCGTAGAGAACGAGGGGATCTGGAGCCCTGACAGCTCACCAGACGGGACCGCCGGGCACGGAAGCACAGTCGTGGCTCGTGCAAGCACTGGGCCCCCAGAGGGGTCAGCCAGTGAGACAAGGACAGGTGCAGGGAGGGGAGTGACTATGGTGCTGCCGCGAAAGAAACAGCGGGAAGCACCAGAGTCAAGTGTAAACGTGTGCAAGGCCTGAGCTGACGCAGTACCAGAGAGGGCAGACTCACTAGCTCCAAAGAGAGCAGACTCACTAGCACCTAGAGCGGCAGCCTCACTGGTCAGTACCGAGAGCAGGAACCTCTATACCGGGGTCTGGCGGCACAGACAGGTAACAGTCACTCTGAGCACAACGCTGAGACGCCCAACGCTGAGCAAACCACTCACGAAGCTCCTGGGGTGTAAGGGGCTCACGCGGACGCCGCTGCAGCTGCACTAGGCCACCTCCAGAAACTCCCAACGGAGGAGCTGCACCGCGACTGCCACTACGGCCACTACGCTGAGATGCCCAACGCTGAGCAAACCACTCGCGAAGCTCCAGGGGTGTAAGGGGCTCACGCGGACGCCGCTGCTGCTGCGCTAGGCCACCTCCAGAACCTCCCAACGGAGTAGCTGCACTGCGACTGCCACTATGGCCACTACGCTGAGACGCCCAACGCTGAGCAAACCACTCACGAAGCTCCTGGGGTGTAAGGGGCTCACGCGGACGCCGCTGCAGCTGCACTAGGCCACCTCCAGAAACTCCCAACGGAGGAGCTGCACCGCGACTGCCACTACGGCCACGACGCTGAGACGCCCAACGCTGCGCAAACCACTCACGAAGCTCCTGGGGTGTAAGGGGCTCACGCGGACGCCGCTGCAGCTGCACTAGGCCACCTCCAGAAACTCCCAACGGAGGAGCTGCACCGCGACTGCCACTACGGCCACTACGCTGAGATGCCCAACGCTGAGCAAACCACTCGCGAAGCTCCAGGGGTGTAAGGGGCTCACGCGGACGCCGCTGCTGCTGCGCTAGGCCACCTCCAGAACCTCCCAACGGAGTAGCTGCACTGCGACTGCCACTATGGCCACTACGCTGAGACGCCCAACGCTGAGCAAACCACTCACGAAGCTCCTGGGGTGTAAGGGGCTCACGCGGACGCCGCTGCAGCTGCACTAGGCCACCTCCAGAAACTCCCAACGGAGGAGCTGCACCGCGACTGCCACTACGGCCACGACGCTGAGACGCCCAACGCTGCGCAAACCACTCACGAAGCTCCTGGGGTGTAAGGGGCTCACGCGGACGCCGCTGCAGCTGCATGAGGCCACCTCCAGAAACTCCCAACGGAGGAGCTGCACCGTGACTGCTACGACGGCCGCCACCACTCCCACTGCTGCCACCACCGCCGCCACCACTCCCACCGCCGGTACTGCGAAGAGAAGTCATAGCAGGTACTAGGGTAGGCAGGGGCGGCGCACGGGCAAGAGAAGGCGACGGTCCGCCAGAGGAAGGCGGCATGCTGCGGGAGGTAGGGCGCGCGGGTAGGGTAGGTCGCGCCCAGGTAGGGTAGGGTGCACGGTGGCGCGCAAGCCGGGCGACGCGGCAGTGAGCCGCGCGTAGGCAGGGCAGGGCAGGCGGGCTGCCGTAGGGCGCGACGCGCAGGGCAGCAGCGCGGGCGTAGGGCAGGGCGCTGGCGCAGGGCAGGGCGCCGGCGCAGGGCAGGGCGCTGGCGCAGGGCAGGGCGCCGGCGCAGGGCAGCCGCGAGGCGCGCGCAGGCTGCTGTAGCGGCGTGTGGGCGGCTGAGGCCGCGCGCGGGGCAGCCGCGGGCTGCACGAGTGGCTGAGGCGGCGCGCGGGGCAGCGCCGGGCCGCGCGAAGGCGGCGGACGCGGCGCGCGGGGCAGCTGCAGGCCGTGCGGGCGGCGGACGCGGCGCGTGGGGCAGCCGCGGGCTGCGCGGGCGGCGGACGCGTCGCGCGAGGCAGCCGCGGGCTGCGCGAGGGCGGCAGCCGCGGCGCGCAGGGCTGCTGCGGGCTGCGCGAGCTGCTGACGCGGCGCGCGGGGCTGCTGCGGGCTGCGCGAGCTGCTGACGCGGCGCGCGGGGCAGCAGCGGGCTGCACAAGGGTGGCGGACGCGACGCGCGGGGCAGCAGCGGGCTGTGCAGGCGGCGGACGCGACGCGCGGGGCAGCAACGAGCTGCGCGCAGAATTAGGGTTTGCGCGCGCGGGCAGCGCAGCGCAGGCAAGGCAAGGCGCAAGCAAGGCAAGGCGCAGGCAAGGCAAGGCACGCGCAGGGAGCGCAGCGCAGGCAAGGCAAGGCGCGCGCGGGCAGCGCAGCGCAGGCAAGGCAAGGCGCGCGCGGGCGGCGCAGCGCAGGCAACACGTGGGGCAGCTCAGTAACCACAACAATAGGTGGGCAAAAAAAAAACGGTCCTACGGACCTACTGCTCTGAAACCATGTCAGAAACTATAGGCAAGAATGAATGACTAGATCAGAGTTTGGGTACAAATATGAAATCCTAACGGGGTTGTACCCCATATTGGCTACCCCACTACAGCCTACACATATATAACATGCATATAATTTGACACAGTTCACATTCTCATTTTGACAATGATACCGTATGCCCTGGCCTGGATGCAAGATCTGTTAGTAGTGAACACTCATTGATAGTGTATCCAGGATTCCAGAAATACACAGAATTCTCAGACTTCTCATGGTTTTTGTTTATATACAGAAATGATATTCAGACTTCTCTGAGATATTGAAAATTCAGTAGTATGATGCTGGCACACAAATATATTTTTCTCCTACAGTTCCAGAGCAGGACCTAGCATTATACTCGTAGAATTTTGATATAGCTGTGGTTGTGGCTCCGCCGTAAAATCGGTAAGCAGCTGAACATGCCATTGATGGCGAAACTGGCTTGACCCTCCCCTTCTTGCAGAATCCCAGCTTGAAAGACCAATAATCCGCCCGAAGACAAACCTGTGACAGCAAGACGCCAAGATGCATGCGCAACAAGTGCATGAAAGGATCACCACGCCAGAGAAACCAAACATTACAAGGACTGACTAGACACGCAGTATAGAGAGTTCGACAATACCGGTACCCAAAAAAAAAAAAAAAAAAGATAACAAAGTGAAATTCAGACTCCCAGGTGGGCTCTGGCAGCAAACAAAGCACACTCACCCTTTGCTCACCTCTGCTTTCTTCTTCCGTTACCTCCCCCTCTCCCTTCCCTCCCCTCTGTCCCTTCCCACTCACAGGACCTCACCTGCACACCAATCTTGCTGCCAACAACAGAGGCAGAGGCAGGGATACTGTCAGCACAAGTCAGGCCAGGGTTGTTGCGGTAGAGCTCAGCCCAGTGGTCAGCGCTCAGGTTAGGCTCGCTGACGGTCCTCTGAAGCAGCCGGTCACACGTGTCTTGAGGAGTGAGCATGCCGTGCTTCACACACTCGGGTACGGTGAACGCGAATGCGGCGTTGCGCTCGATGCACACCGAACGGCCCGCGTTGATGGGCGTGGAGCAGTCAAGGCCGGGGTTGAGCGCAGCAAGGGAAGCTTCGTCCAAGTTGGTGTGATCGCTGATGGTGGAACAGAGCTCTCCCTGGGACATTGTGTGGTTGGTGGAGAACAGAGCGGTAGGGCGCATGTGCTGGTTACATAGTGCGCGGGGCATTGGGAATGTCGTGTGGCATAAAGTTGCGGGCGGGATGGCAACGAGCGTGTTGTGGTTGGTGGAATCAAATTGGAACTGTATTGCAAAACCTGACATGTATGAGAGCAGAAGGAGGATTGAGTTAGCTCAAGCTTTGGTGCAATCCAAAGGGCATGGTACGGAATCTCACATGGAGGGAGTAGAAGAAGGCAGTGCAGGGTGTGGTGGGTGTGCCATTCAGTTGGAGGACGGTGCCTCTGGGCAGTGGCCCACTGCAGTCTACAGCCTGCAGTCATCGTGAAACACATGCGTGGTAAAGCGACAGGGTGAGTGAGAGAATCGCTTCGTTGTACCCTGCATGAACGTGCCAGCCACACTCTGCATTTGAGGCACCTCAAAAGATGGTGCCACTCCACACCCTGCATCCCACGGCTCTCACTCCTTTACCCAACCCTTACCGCGTTCTGGAGTGTGAAGTCAGCCAGTGAGAGTCCAACAAGGGGATAAACATCTGAACACAACCAGTTGTCTCCAGTGACTGTCATGTTGGTGGCTGTGCTGTTAGCTGGAAAGCACATAGAGAGTGATCAGGAAGACGGAGACATTGGGGAAGGGGAGAAAGTTTGAAGACTGAGAGAAAAAAAAAAAAAAAAAAAATGAAAAACCAATTCCATCTCCTGCATTCCTGTGTGGTAAAAAAAATGCAAACTTGGGGTAAAAAAAAGAAAGACTGCAAACAGGAGACACTGACAAATCCAAACACCACAATACCTGGATCGCATGTGGGGGTGTCATATACAGTTGAGCTTTCAACGTAGTTGGGAGGGCAGATGCAAGAGTAGGAGCCTCTGCCATCGTTGATGCATGCGCCCACGTAGCAAGGGTTGTTGAAGTATGACCCACACACATCCACTGCAATGGGGTTGAGATGGATCGCACAGGGATGGGAGATAGAGGACACAAGAGAGTGCTAACATGGGGACACAAATGAGCGCATGAGACATGAGAATAGAGGATACAAGCGAGCATAAGACACCCCAAAGACGAGAATAGGTGGAGTTTTGATGCCTCTTTTACCCCCTTTTGAGGTATCTTTAAAGAAAAAGGCTTTTGAGACGCCTCAAAACACACAAACGAACTCATGAGACAAGGGGGTAGAGGCCATGCCAGCATGAGAAGATGAGGAGTTTTGATGCCTTTCTCTCCCCCCACCATGCGTCACCTCTCGCCAGCGCAGACTGGAACCACCACTGCCTTCTGACTCGGACTGAACTGAACCAGCCGGTTTGCAGCCGCAGCAGTGCTGCCGTGCATGCCATGCTGTAAAAACACTTTCCTGGTTGGACTTTTGTTCCCCTGGCAATTGGCTACCCAAGCATCTTCCCGCATGTGGTGAATGGAAGGGATGCTTGGGTACGCAATTCATCACTACCATGGTCCCACCCTTCCGATGAGAGTGTGCAAACACTCTTGGCAATGGGTGTGTGTGCATAAGCATACCAGACCAGACTCAGTTCTTAAACAACGAATCAATGTGACTTTCACTCACCTTGCTCTCTAGAGAAGCTCTTTGCAAATCCGAAATCTCTGAGATCTGCGATGCGAGCCCCCATTAAAATCAGAACCGGGTGATGCATGCATGGTTCCATGCATGGGATCCGTATGGGATCCGTATCTGCCACCTAACAACTCAGCACGTACCCAGCAGTACCCACCCCCAGCTGACCATAAGCACACGTGCTGGAGCCATTCCCGTTCTCAACGTGAACAAAAGGCTGCCGGAGAGCTCCTTGTATGGTGCAGTTGCAGGAATAGGTGGTGTTATCCACCGCATTGCACTTGAAGCGACCGCACGGGTTCATGCCAGAGAGATCCTGGTCGCCCTTGTAGCTGTTGCTGCTGCAGGGGTCCCCCGGAACTGGGAAGGCACGGGGGAAGATACATTCGATGCGAGGGAGGTGCATTGAGATAAGATGTGCAAGACCATAGCACAAAGAGAACGGCCATTGCATAGGGGGTGTGCATGTGCCTGCATGCCGTCACCAGTGAAACCTGAACCATTACAAGTGAGGGCCCAATACCTGAAGGATCAGAACTTGAGATACACTTGACTGACAGCGCTTCAACTGTTGCATGCCAGTGCACCATGGCCAGGCCATGGATGGAGTTCGTCTCATTCTTTCGCCAGGTGTTGGCGGCTCCATACCAATGTTGCACACGTTGTTTTGCTCACTCACTCTCATATGCGATGTTGTCTCACAAGAACCTCGTTCCTGTATTACGCTACACGGCTTTTGATTATGGGGAGTAGATGCCTCACCCTTGAGAATGGGGTAGATGCCAGGTAGCACGTTAATGCCGCATACACCATCCCCTCCCCGAATGTCCATGCGCATGTGGCCCCTATCTCCCCACTCATCTCCCCACGAGTTGCGGATAACCCAAAACGGCGGAGCAATGCGGTTCTGGCTGCCGTCGTTTCTATTAATGAGGTAGCCAACAACGAGTACAACGTGGTTCAGATTGCCGGTGTAGCACTCTGGATCTTGGTACTTGAACGTCTGAGCCAAAAGGGGGACAGCACAAAGGTACATACAAGTAAAGGTATGGTCACCTATGCTGGCATTGCGGTAACGTTGAAGAAGATGAAGAGGAAGATGATGTCAAACACAAGGGATATATGCAGACATATGAATTCATTTTTATTTGCAAGAAGTTTAACGGGAACCAGAGTGTTGACTTACCCCTTCATAGTCAACACATGAACTCAACCAGCATAGGCGAGGCAAGCACTCACCCCGTCATAGCCAACAAAAGTGTCAGCGGAAGCCTCGATGTGAACCACCACAGGTTGCCGCCGCACGGCCAGCATGAGCCCCACATACCCCTTGAATGAAGTGCGCTCAAAGCCCTGAATAGGGTACTTTGCTGTCTGCAAGTCAGATATCAAATCAGATCAGATCAGATCAGAGCACACAGAGATAGTTGGGAGAAAAATAAGGTGATCAAAAGACTGCTTGCCAGCATGGGTAGCACCTACTGCACAAACCCCTTTAAATTGCGTCTGCATGTCGCTCAAACGCCAGCCTGCCTGCACGAGATACTTTGATTCATTGTTGCTGCCTATACAAGGATATGAGAAAGCGAAGGGAATAGAGGCTGCACTAAAGAGTATTCGCTTATCTTTCTGAAGCTGCCAAGCGGATTTCATAAGGTGCTTCAAGTTTCGACAACACACAAATCTGAATATCTTGAAGGCAGAACAATGAAGGGATGGTGTTCACCTATCTCTAATGCGTTACCATACACTCACATGCCTTCCCCTCACTTTACATCACTTACCACACACCCCGAACCCTGTTTGTCGTACCGAATCACTGACTGCAGTCAGCCCACTCCCCGCATCAAGAGCGACGAGCTTCTCAAAAGCCTCAGTGGGTGAGCCGCCAGCGGAGCACTTGTCTGAGTCAGCCAGCCCCAAGGCGGCAAAGAGTGGCTCCACTGATAGCTGGGGAGCAATCTCATGCCGTGCAATGCCGTATGCTGCTTCTATGCTCGCCACCACCGCATACGCCCAGCATGCATCTGAGGAAGAACCAGAAGATCAAGCAGGGTGGGTGGGAAATGTGATACAGGTGGGGAAGCATGGTGCACTTTCTGCGGCGTGCACGCCGCAGTGCGGCAAAGATTAGACGCTAAACTGAAAAGACATTTCCCAACCAACGTGCACCCGCTTTTCACTCACTGCAATCGGCCTGGTCCTTGACGGGCCATTGGAGGAAGGGGAGGGAGTTCCAGGTGTGGAAGTCACGGATGCGCCACGAGTCGTCACTGTTGGACGCCAGCTCGTAGTCCGTGCTCACATACCGCATGAACGGACTGGCTCCCCGTGGCGCGTATGTGGCCGATGAGAGTGCCAGGCCGCGGGCTGCGTGAGAGGGGAAAAGGGATGGAGGAAGAAGGAAAGAGAGAGAGAGGCATGTGGATGGTGGTTTGTGAATCATATTAGTTCTAAATGGCCAGTATCACGATTGCTTTTTGTGTGAGATAGGGAGCTCACCTTGCTCTTTGATGCGGACTGACTTGGGTGGAAAAACGCCTGCGAGTGAGAATACACACATGGCACGAAGAAAGAAGCGGCAAGATACAAGATGAGGATCGGGAGAGAGCCACAGGATTGGCAGGCAACGACAAGACAAGATCGTTCAATTCCATCATCTCCCCATTCCTATCCCCATCCCCATCCCCATCCCCATCCTCATCCTCATGACCATCCCCATCCCCATCCCCATCCCCATCCCCATCATCGTCATCCCCTTCCTCATCCGCATCACCCCTCTCAACACGCCCGTACCTGTTTGCACCGCAGAGCGCACAATGCCATGCAGCTGGAATGGCTTCACCGTAGTGGACGCCACAAACCCAAAGAAAAACGCGCCCTGCCGCACACCACCCTGGAGCACCGCACACAGAGAGAACTCTTTCTGCAGCAGCGGCTCCTGTGGCTTTATCCTGGAGTCAGCTAGGAACACCTGGATGCTGCCGGGGTTTCCAGGCTCATAGTCCACCCATGCCGTGTACGCATTGCCGTCGGTGAGAGTGTATGGAGACAGCTCAGAGACCACGGATCGATCCAAGCCGTTGATGTTCAGCCCCACGTGCTGCCTGCTCTCGTCGTTGTGGTTGCCATTCTGAAACGTGTCAAACTCCACCGCTAGGCTCCGCGCTCCCACCCCGCCATACCCCACGCCGTCACCCTTCCCCACCTTGGCCTTGGCTGCAATCACAAACGCAAAGCCGTTGGACCCTGCAGCGCCAGACTGGGGAACGAGGGAGAAGGTGAAGTTGACAGAGAAAGCCAGCTCCACACCACATCGCTGGGTCTGGGTCATGCCGGTCGGGTATGCAAACAGGGTCACTGGCTTTGCCATGAACTTCCCTGCCGTTTCCCGCGTGGTTCCTTTGGTGAGCACGGTGAAAGGAGGGAGAATAGCGCTTCTGGTAGGGAGCGCCTTGACCCAGCCTGAAAGGATGTGTTGGGGAGGGATGCAGGAACCAGGGAGATGATGCTTTCATTCCAGTGCACGTGCTGTTACTCTGCTTGCGATGCCCATGCTACAGAAAAAATGAGCAAAGCTTTTTCCTTCACAAAAGTGCGCACGTATGTATTACCTTCAGCAACGCAGGTGTGTCCTTGAAGGTGCAGAAACCCCGAGTCACACATACACGCCGGCACCAAGCTCGGCCCGTCTGGATAACAAGTCGCACGAACTTGACCTTGACCATCACACGCAGAAGTAGCGTTGGTGATGCCACAAAACGCCATGCACTCTGCTGCTGGCCTTTGCAGCTGAGAGCTACAGGCATTGTGCAGTGTGAAGCAATTGGCGATGATGTTGTGCTGGTGGCAGCTGGATTCTGATAGAGCCCCGGACAGGTAGTTGTTTGCCAGGTCCATTTTGAATTGCGTGGTGATTGCAAGGGGACCTGTGAGGTAGTTGTGTGAGAGGTCACTGCAATGGTGTGGGGAGTAATGGGAGGTGGGTCGCGGTTAAGGGGTGGTGTGGGGTACGAAAGAAACACAGAGAGGCCGTACGGAATAAGCATTGGAAGAGAAGCCGTTCATGTGTGACGCTGTGAGGTGATTGGTGGATGCAACAGTTTGTCAGAATGTTATTGTCTAGCCTGCAGTGGGGTGCTCAATAGTGAGTACAACCCCTTAGGGTTTCCTATTTGTACCAACCTGCTTGCTAGTTCAACCATCCTCATTCTCCATTCTCTCTTCTCCAATTCTCCTTCGCATACCCAAAACCCTAGTCCTAGGGCACATCCTACTACCTCTTAGTGTGGGCCTAGGCTACTAAGCCTAGGCCCCACTCCTATTGTTTCTAACATGGTATCTAGAGCGAGCACGTTCCTGCCGCTTACCTCAATGGGCCCACCACCTTACTGCTTCCATTGCTACTGCTACTCTGTGTGTTGCACGCCCCGAGGCGTGCGACGGATTTTTCATCCCGCCGCGCGCTCGGAGCGTGCGGCGGTTTTCTGCCCGCCGTGCGCCCCGAGGCGCGCGGCGGTTTTCTGCCCGCCGTGCGCCCCGAGGCGCGCGGCGGCTTTCTGCCCCGTCACTCCGCGCGTCGCCCCCGGGAGGCGCTGCGACGGGCGACGGGGACCCGCGCGTCGCCCCCCGTCGCCCGTCGTGGCCCACGCGACCTACGTCGGGCCCGCGCGCGGCCCGTACAGCCTGCGCGCGGCCCGTACGGGCTGCGCCAGGCCCGCGCGCGGCCCGTACGGGCTGCGCCAGGCCCGCGCGCGGCCCGTACGGACTGCGCCAGGCCAGCCCGCGCCTCGAGCCGCCCGCCACTGCAGCAGCCGCCCCTGGAGTCGCCCGCCACTGCAGCAGCCGCCCCTGGAGCCGCCCGCCACTGCAGCAGCCGCCCCTGGAGCCGCCCGCCACTGCAGCAGCCGCCCCTGGAGTCGCCCGCCACTGCAGCAGCCGCCCCTGGAGCCGCTCGCCACTGCAGCAGCCGCCCCTGGAGTCGCCCGCCACTACAGCAGACGCCCCTGGAGCCGCCCGCCACTGCAGCAGCCGCCCCTGGAGTCGCCCGCCACTACAGCAGACGCCCCTGGAGCCGCCCGCCACTGCAGCAGCCGCCCCTGGAGTCGCCCGCCACAGCAGCAGCCGCCCCTGGAGCCGCCCGCCACTGCAGCAGCCGCCCCTGGAGTCGCCCGCCACTGCAGCAGCCGCCCCTGGAGCCGCCCGCCACTGCAGCAGCCGCCCCTGGAGTCGCCCGCCACAGCAGCAGCCGCCCCTGGAGCCGCCCGCCACTGCAGCAGCCGCCCCTGGAGTCGCCCGCCACTGCAGCAGCCGCCCCTGGAGCCGCCCGCCGCTGCAGCAGCCGCCCCTGGCACCTGGAGCAACCGCACCAGCAGCAGCCGACCATGCAGCTGCCCGCGACGCCGCTCCTGGACCCTGTGCAGTCGCGCTCAGTCTCACTCGCGCCCTCGTGCGCCCTACCCTACCTGCTCCGCGCTGTTGCTCTGCACGCGCGGTTGCCCGCGCCCTCGTGCGCTCTACCCTACCTGCTCCGCGCTGTTGCTCTGCACGCGCGGTTGCCCGCGCCCTCGTGCGCTCTACCCTACCTGCTCCGCGCTGTTGCTCTGCACGCGCGGTTGCCCGCGCCCTCGTGCGCTCTACCCTACCTGCTCCGCGCTGTTGCTCTGCACGCGCGGTTGCCCGCGCCCTCGTGCGCCCTACCCTACCTGCTCCGCGCTGTTGCTCTGCACGCGCGGTTGCCCGCGCCCTCGTGCGCTCTACCCTACCTGCTCCGCGCTGTTGCTCTGCACGCGCGGTTGCCCGCGCCCTCGTGCGCTCTACCCTACCTGCTCCGCGCTGTTGCTCTGCACGCGCGGTTGCCTGCGCCCTCGTGCGCTCTCCCGCCCCGGCCCTCCCCCCCCCCCCCCCCTGCGTCCCCTGGACAGGAGGGTGTGGGGGTGGCGGGTGTGGGGGTGCTCCTTGTGCGTCGCCCCTACCTTCTCCTCCGTCTCCCACTGCTGCAGCTGCCGCTGCGGGGGGGTGGATGTGTGGGAGACGAGGGAGTGGCGCTAGGGGGGTGATGTGGGAGTGGAGCTAGAGGTGACACTGGGGGTGTGTGTAGGGGGGTGTGGGACAGCTGGAGGAGGTTGCAGCACCTGTTGCCCGTGTGTCTGCAGCTTCAGTCGTCGTCTCCAATCTTCTCTCCCTTCACAGTTCCTCCTCCTCCTCACTTGCCCTCTGTGATAGCCTCTAGCTTTGCTCATATTTGTGAACTATTGCACTGCCTGCTCATTGTGCTGATTGCACCCCACTTTGGCTATGGGGGTGTGTCAGAATGTTATTGTCTAGCCTGCAGTGGGGTGCTCAATAGTGAGTACAACCCCTTAGGGTTTCCTATTTGTACCAACCTGCTTGCTAGTTCAACCATCCTCATTCTCCATTCTCTCTTCTCCAATTCTCCTTCGCATACCCAAAACCCTAGTCCTAGGGCACATCCTACTACCTCTTAGTGTGGGCCTAGGCTACTAAGCCTAGGCCCCACTCCTATTGTTTCTAACACAGTTGAGCTAAAAAGGAGAAATCGGAAAGGGGTGCGGTGTAGGTGGGGAGCAGGAGGAGGGAGGGGAGGAGGAGGAGGAGGAGGAGGAGGAGGAGGAGGAGGAGGAGGAGGAGGAGGAGGAGGAAGAAGAAGAAGAGGAAGGGGAGGAGGAGGAGGAAGGGGGGGCGGAAGCTCAACCACTTTTTGTCAACTGCCTTCATCTATGCCTCCCTACATGTCATAAAAAGTTGAAAGCAATGGACCCTCCATGAACGAAGATGCTACATGTGTCAGCAGAAAGTGATATAGTAGCCTGACATTACCACTAGGGCTGTGCTGCAGCATGGATTGAGCATGAGGGCAGAATGAGGGAGCAGAAGAGCAGTGGGCGGGTATGAGAGTATGAATATGAGTGTGATGTGATGTGACCACTAATCAATGACAACAAATGAGGTGACCATGTTGCATCTCGCATCCATGTAAGACAATTTTCCATAGGTGCATCAATGCTAAGGAGTGTATCAGAATCTGCATCATTCAGTGATGCTTGTTGTGCGTACCATACTCCTAGACCTGTGAGCTGCGAGAGAGACGCAGGCCAGCTGCCATACAGCTGGTTGTATGCGAGTGAGCTGATGGTTTGTAAGGGGAGCAGTATACAAGGGAAGACGGGTGGAAGGGAGGGATGTCAAGTAGCGGGCTTTGCACAACAATCATGCAAAGGGGTGGCTCGTGGTAGGAGAACAATGGGGTTTGATGTAAAAATGGCACAAAATGAGAAGCCGTGCCCGTGTAAGCATCATCTGTGACAGAATATTGAAGAGCACGGGAGGTCTGACACATCATGAGCACATGGACTAGAACCATTGGGTGCTTGCTACGCAGTGCAATTAAATTCTGATTCTTGCCGAGGATTATTAGAAACACCCTGCAGCTTGGAAGCAAGGGTGGGTGAGGGAAAGATCAAGCGATCGCAGCAGTGGGATGCCTAAGGAAGGTTCATGTTGGGGGCTCACAGGCGATATAGGTCAGTGAGGCTGCCAATCGTGCTTGGAATGGTTCCCCCAATGTGGTTGCTGTATAGCCGCCTGGAGTCAAGAGGAAGGAAGACATGGATTGTGGTCTGATATTGCACGACATATGGGGTATGTGTGCTGCGATGTACATTAGAAATAAAAGCAAGAGGCTGCATGCGAAATGTGTGCATTTACATTCGCTAATCCAAGCATTAGGCACGTGATTACTGAGTTCAATTCACAAGCACATGGCCTTCAATACACGATGGCTGCCATGCACGATATGATACTTTGCCATTAGAGACAAGGACGCATGGCATTGTCGCATGGACGCATGGATGCATGGAAGCATGGATGGATAGCCGCATGGATGCATGGATGGATGCATGGATGCATGGATGCATGGATGCATGGATGCATGGATGCATGGATGCATGGATGCATGGATGCATGGATGCATGGATGCATGGATGCATGGATGCATGGATGCATGGATGCATGGATGCATGGATGCATGGATGCATGGATGCATGGATGCATGGATGCATGGATGCACGGTGCATGGATGCATGGATGCATGGATGCATGGATGCATGGATGCATGGATGCATGGATGCATGGATGCATGGATGCATGGATGCATGGATGCATGGATGGATGGATGCATGGATGGATGGATGCATGGATGGATGGATGCATGGATGGATGGATGCATGGATGGATGGATGCATGGATGGATGGATGCATGGATGGATGGATGCATGGATGGATGGATGCATGGATGGATGGATGCACGGATGC